ATTATGCATTTGCTGCTCGGGCTCACCCTTAAATACTATAAGACCTTTTTGAGAGCTGCTGCTCCCCCATCTTCAGGCAAGTTTTAAGGGACATGCAAATCAGACACATCACGATTTTACCCAAGGAAAGGAAGAACCAGAGTTTGTACTCCAGCTAGAGACCCATTTTGTTGCTGAATACAGACCTCAACCTTTTCACCAAAGACCTCAGTATGAGGATACAAAGTATAGTCCCAGAAGTAGTCCACCCAGATCAACTGGGGTTTGTGCCCGGGACGGAGGTGAAAGACAATACTATAAGGGGGCTGCATCTGATGCATAAAGCTGGATGTAGAGCAAGCTCTCCTCTCAACCGAAAAAGTCTTTGACCGGCTGGACTGGACTTTCATTATGGAGACACTGACTTACATGGGGTTTGGCCCAGCAATGCACTTGGGGTCATTGTACTCATGCCCACGGCACGGATTAGGGTGGATGGCGTTCTGTCAGATCCAGTCCACCAGCCAGGAGTTCCCACTCTCGCAGCACCTCTGTATATTACAATTGAAGCCTTTATTGGAGGCAATTAGGAAGAATGATGGCATTAGAGGGATTGAGGTGGGGAGTATGGAACTCCTCCCCACCCCTTAAAGTAGCCACATATGTGTATGATATGATATTTTTCACGAGTCACCAGGAATAACTATCCCTAATCTTCTGCCATTATTCTTGGAGTATGGCAATCTGGCTAATTGAATTTAGATAAATGATACTGAATGTGCTGGTCTCTGCCACAAACTCGGCTAGACTGTGATGACAATTCATATTTAGATGTGCTGAAGTGGTCAAATATCTGGGGATCTGGATCCATAGGGATCCCGATCAACTGTATCATGGAAATTTTCTTCCTCTGCTTCGGACCATACAGGAGGATCTGAAGTCCTGGGAAAGTTGTTTGTATCATGAGTTAGATGCCTCAGTGTGTTCAAGATGCAATATCTCATGCAAACCATCCCAAGTAGGCTAGTGAAGGCAAACGTCAATTCTCTAGAAGTCAGAGGGTTTGTATGGGTGGGGAGGAGCTCTAGATTGAAACTAGTTGTAATGGGCTCATTTTAGCTTTAGTATAGCTGTTTTGGGGGAAATGGAAAAGTACTTTAGAAATGATATTTGGCGAAAACTACAAGTTCTTGAGTTAAGGATTAGGAATTATTTTGGTTAGAAAACCAGCAGAGAACAATGGCCTGTAGGGTTTGTTTCACACATAAAATTCCATGATTAGACAAGTTTCAATTCCAGAAAAAGAATGTGGAAGTTCTTTTTGTATCAATGCTCTACTTTATGATATGTCTGTATTGTATTTCTTGCATTTGACATGAACATAGAAGGAGGATGCCATGTGCCATCTCTTTTGTTATAAAATATTACCTTAATTGTTCTAAAATGTACTAATTAGTTTGTTCCTAAAATTCCTGCACAGAAATGCAAGGAAAATTCCAATAATAAATAATGGGTGTCAAATTTTGTGTGACCAGTAGATGGAGACAAAGTACATATTAACCAAACAAGTAGTGCCCTTTCACCCAGCATTCCATTAGAGGGTTACTCCAACCACCATGACCACTTCCATGATAGGTGTCAGTATGTGCAGTTTTTTAGCTTAAAACACTGCACATATTCAGTTTTTAGCAACTATGTGCCAGGAGCAAGTTGCACCTTTAGCACCATGAACTCAGTTCCAGGCTTCCTAATGTCAATTCTGTGCACAAATTACGTCTGTTGCCAGCACGCCTGTAAGTGCATTGCTTTGTTTGTTTGTTTGTTTTAAACCTCCCTTCTACCCACCACCTCTGCCTCCCTTCCTTGCCAGCTCAGAACGCACGCTGAGCTGGTAATTGATTAAATCTATGAGAAACCTGTGGTTGTACTGCACGCGGCCCCAGTGACGTAGAAAGGAGCCACGAAAAGCAACGCCAAGAGCTTCGTCCACCTCTGGATTCAAGGTTTAAAAAAAAAAAAAAAAAGTAAATCGTTTTTATTTCAGGTTCCACAGCGAATTTAGAGGGGGAACCTTCCCCACAATGCCCAGTAGGGTATAGTACACCATAAAAGGTTCCCCTCTTAATAGTTTTATAGTAATCCTTTAACGGCATTATTTGTAAACAGGTATGTTACAACTTATAATGAGTGCAGTCTGCAGAACATAAACTGATTAAGATATCTTTATTGGATAACACAGGATAATGAGTGTAACAAGAATAAACAATGTGTACAATAAGACAGGAACATGTCTGATTACAGTGTATATACTGAGGGATCAATACGTTGACATTTCTGAATAACACGTACAGCGAGCAGGTTTGCCACAGTCCTGGTTTAATCAGCTGAGTTTATAAAAAATGCTTCAATGCTTTATGGATCAATGGGAGTCTACAAGACGCTACTCACTAAACATCAAACTCTAGCTAATTTAAAATGGAATTGTAAAATGTACACTATTATTGACAAGAGTAGGTGCAGAATTTTTCCAAATCAGTTATATTTGCCAACATTTTGCAATTCAGATTTCAATTTATTAGAATTGTGTGTTAGTTGATCGACACTCTGTATTGACCAGTATGAAAGTGTTTAACCAGGAAAGGTACATTTAATTTGTTGGCAGTTTTCAAGTACATTCTGTGATCCAGATTTTACTATTACCCAACTTACTGGTATTTGTTTTATCAATCTCGGATGGGTAAAAGGATGCTTTTGGCCAGTCGGGAATCTAACAGCTACTGTACTTGGAGTTCTATCCACTGAATTGTTTCAATGAGACACACGTCCCCTGAAAGTGTATACATTTATTTTTAATACTTATTGATTCCAATTAAGAATTACTTTACGGCAACCATAACACACAGACGCACAGAGCAGCAGTTACAACGGATATACATATATATGAGAAGCATGAAATGTGTTCACTAATATCCCCCCAACTGTCCCTATTTAGGACGGACGTACCCTATTTAGGGCCTAAATCCATCTATCCCTTTTTTCGACGAGCTCCATATTGGTATATAACGGAGCTTAACAGCAATAATACTCCCAGTAATGTGTCTTTAAACTACAATAAATGTGTTTAGAAATCAGTCTGTGTAAATCAAATACATTGTTTTTTTTATAAATTACATTTTAATTGCATAAATTGTTATTATAAAAGTCACCTAGAATTTCTTTTAGAATAGTCACAGCCCTAAAATTAAATAGCCCCTACTCGTCCATTTCAAATGTTGGAAGGTATGCGCAAGTGCCTTCATGACCTGCTAAAGCTGTCTGAGTTGGAGTCCACAGTTGCTGAAGTGGCTGGGATTCACAAACCGCGCATAGCAAATAAAGAGAACTCATCAATGTATTGAACGACTGCTTACTGGACAATAACATTTGCCACCAAACGATTTATTTTCCAGATTCACACGCGGTTATTCAGCAAAGTGTGAATTTTTGGTAACTCAAAGTGAATTTTAAATTTTAGTCTAAATTAGCGAATTTGAAAAAACTCCCCGTGTTCTTTCTATTTTTCAGTATAGCTAGTTTGGTGTAAAATTTGAAATTCACTATGAATTGATGGAATTTCACTTCTTTGTAAGTGACCCTCACAGACGACATGCACAGACAAGCATTTCAAATATCTGATTTCACAGCAGCTCCTGTTAGAGCCGTTTAATGTGTTGTAGACAGGGTATTTTTTGCAGGCCAGTTGCCGATGACTTACAGTGAGTACCTGAGCCATTGCCATGGATTTTAGACAAAATAGATTTTTGCTGTGTACATCTGGACCGCACAACTAAACTGTGTGACCTGTAAACCTTAAGCACACGCCGTGCTGGAAAAACAGAGGAACGAGTTTACTCGACAGAAGCAGGGCCTGATTTGCCAATAGACAGCTGCCTATGAGCGTCTGATGAAGGATGTCTGATTGGCCTTGCTAAGGTGCATTTTCATATTGAGGTCCACTATCTACCCAAATCTACAGTCAGCAGGCATGTTGCTATGAAATAACACAGAGAGGGATGGGTTTCCTTGTAATGTGTAAGATACAGGTAAGCTGCTCTATGAAAGGGGAGTCAAATATGAAAAAACAGGATGAGGTTGTTGTGATTTGAGAGCTGGGTGATGTCCTGCGTGTGTAATTTAATATATTTAAATACAGGGGTCTATGAGAGTCTTCCAGCTTTTAAAAATGCATACGCCGTGGCTGTACTCTGTTAATATAGATAGAGGTCTGAATTGGTGTTATAAAACTGTATGCATAGCTATGTCAGTCAGCATCCTTTACGTCAGTCAGACTCTGTACAATGAATACATCTGTTAAAAGAACACCCCAGACACATCGTTTTTTAGCGTACTGAGGTGCTTTGTGTGTCTGGAACCTGCAATTTTATTTACAGTTCCTAAATTATGTTAATTTTAATAGAAATCTTTATTTTTATAACTGGGGACAGAACCCTCTCCGAGTGACAGCCAGGGTGAGTTTTATCCTTTTTCCATTAGTTGTACAGAGCTAATGAAAGTGGCAGGCGCGCTGTGCTAGTGCACACTCCCATTCACCTTCTTAATGAATCATTTCAGGAGGGATTGCAATGGCTGCGGACAGCAAGTCTGTAGCTTTTCAGGAAAAAATATGCAGGAAATATACATGAACTTTTTCTTTGGGGTTATCTATACACTAAATAGTTGGGAGGAAAAAACAAATCAGTCGAGGGTTTTATTAACATTGATGCAGCAGACCATTAGCTGGTGAATTTGTCTAAATCTAGTGACCAACGGCCAATTCACAGAATGGGATCTCTTGGCAGAAGAAATGGGTCTAGGAAAATGTTATTACTAGATAATTGCACGCTATGTTCAGCCGAAAAAAGAAGAAGAAAAAATGCAACAGAGAATGCAAGCTCTTCAGAAGTGCAGGGGTTAAAATCAGCCATATAGCCCCTCAAACTTTGTAAGAAGACTCTTCGATGATGGACTGTCCCGTGCTAATGTTACACACATCGAACATAATTGTTAACTGGCTCCTAAAAGTCAAGTGAGAAGAGAAATACAGTTATTACACGCCTCTGCTCTAAAGGACAACAAATGGAGTTTAGATATATTGAGTATCTGCTCATTAAATCCCCTGTCACAGGGGATTCTGAAGGATACAACCACCACTGGGGACAGAGCATTTCTTAGTGGTAGAGGATTAATAGATAAGTAATATTTATAATCCTATTTGTAGGATATTGAACTAGTTTGGAACCCCATCAACTAATGTTCCATTTTTTTTAAATAATTCACAGACAGTACCTGCAAAAAAGGGCCAATAGGAAACTGTGGCAAAGTTCTAAAATTTTTACTAAAAAAACAAAACGAAAAACAATGGACGGATATCTATAGTGATTGCTCTAGAACAGGGGTAGGCAACCTTCGGTACTCCAGATGTTGTGGACTACATCCTCCATAATGCTCTTACACCAATAATGCTGGCAAAGCATCATGAGAGGTGTAGTCCAACACATCTGGAGTGCCGAAGGTTGCCTATGCCTGCTCTAGAACAAAAGTAGGCAAAATGTACATCTCCAGATGTTGTAGGACTGCAAATCCCATGATGCTCTGCTATTCTAGAGGCTGACAAAGCATAATGGCAGTTGTAGCAGTTGTAGTTCTACAACATTTGAGGATCAACCTTTTGCCCAACACTGCTCTAGAATGTTGCCCCAATGGTCTCCTAGTAACACATTTACAAACATTATGCAATGTTCTACATAATAAACACTACTAGTTGACAAACCTCAAAGAAACATAGAAACGTAGAATGTGACCACAGTTAAGAACCATTCGGCCCATCTAGTATTCCAAATTTTCAAAATACTTCCATTAGTCCCTGGCCTTTTCTGCTGTAAATAATTAATTCTAATTCTAAGTTGGCCTTTGCTCTTCAACCAAGACAAACTGGAGGGAAATTCTACTTTAAGACTCCATACCTTTACTCCATCTTCTGCATTATATTTATTAAGTAGCGCTTTGATACGAGCACCAAAATTGAGATCAACATCTGTGAAGTTTTTCACCTGGAGAAAAGCAAAAATAATGTTTTAATTGAATAACGTCAAGGTTTAATTGTCCGGTCAAGATACGTAGAGTCTAGAAAGTCTTCTGAAACATTATGGATTCAGCAGGACTGTACTAATTACCGACTACGCTCTTCCAACCAAACAAGTTGGGATTTTCGCAAGTTACCGTTACTTTAGCAGACATCATTGTTTAGTAAATAATAGTCTGACGTCCACATTGTAAAATATAGCTGAACTTGAATTCTATAATAGCTGCTATTTTTATTACTTAGCTACAATTTGTTTTCATTTAACTACAGATCCTTTTTAGGTAAATAAACCAATTTGTAAAAGATTGCTGGGCAGATTGTTCACTAAACTCTGAATAGTCAACAAATAAATTATGGCAAAACCGATGCAAAAATTGCCATGTTGTAACTATGGCGGAGTTGAGGAATTTTTTCCCGATCAGTTACTGTTTTTACATTCAGATTTAATTTGCAAAAATTCAGAGTTTAATTAAGAACCCCATTATGTGTTCAAAGTATTCTATAAAAGAGATCCATACATTCCCAAAAAAAGCACATTGTGAAAACAAGATACAACACACATTAGATATAATAAATAATTAACTAATAATAAAGAAAGTGATTAGAATGCAGTACTGTCCTAATCTAAAGGCTCACTTCCTCTATAATTCTCTCTCTCTTGAGTCCACCACTTTCGTATCAACAGACGTACATTAGCCATCGCTATCTGCACTGCATCTCCCTGCTTCGTCAGTATCATTTACAAATAAATGTTACTTACTGCTCGTTCTTGAATGAATAGCTGAGCGTCTTTCAAGCTCTGGGCAATGTTTTCACACAGCCTCTTCCTCTCGTCCTCACTCAACGTTTTGTTGTAGAAAGTTCTAACCTGAATTGTAAAAGCACAAAACCAAAAAATAAACACATTTACTCCTGAAGTTCATTCCCCAAACATTCCCCATGTGTTAAATGTACTAGTCATGGAGTAATAACATCTGGTGGTTGATGGTGTGGCCATAGGGGGATCTTTGCCATGTTCCCCCATATTCCTAAGGAAAAGCATACCCGGAGCCTTGCCTCCACTGGTTGCCTTGTGCCTAGGGGACCAGAAAGATTGACTCCATTCTATTACTAGCAACCCTTAATGTAAGTACGCACTCCAAATTTAGGAAATGTGGCCATATGTAGTACTTTGAGATTGATGGAGAGATGGATGGACAAACAGACGGACAGATACTGTTGGCACTGAAATGTTGACTATTCTGTATTCACAGATTAGGCGTTAAATAAATCACCATCTTTTAATATTATTAAGCCATTGAGTGCAAAGTCTGTTTAAAAGTGTTAAATTTTGAGTTTTTTGGGGATCTGCCTTTTTTTTTTCTTAAACCCACTTCTTCATAAAGAACACGATTGTGATTTTCTGACCTGGGAAACATTGTCTTCATCATCAGCGCTGTGCCGAGCAATATCTCCCGAGACGTTACAACAGGTTTCTTTGAATGTGGAGTGATCCCGCAGGTGGCAGAAGCTATTTGGAAAGTAATTTGGCATGTTGCCTAAATAACAATTAGAACACGTTACCAGGAAGTTACTCTATGTATCACAGATTCAGGACAAATATTTACTGTGAACGCATCCGTCACACGGAAAAAAAGCAAATATAACAATACAAAACATAAAAGAAACTGTGCCTGGTTTACTAGTTGTCCTACGTTTAAAAATATACAGTAATATTTACTAGCAGGGAGTGCACTGGGCACAGGGTGGGGTAACAAACACTCAGTTGGCTACTAAAATGTGTTTTTTATACCTTTTTTTTCTCTCTCTGTCAATTATTTATTGTTAAATATCCCCTTTGCATAATTCTAAAGTGCTGCAGAAAATAGTAATAACATTCTGAGAACTGCAAAAATTGTCTGTAGTAACCCATAGAATCACTAGGGGGCATCAAAGACCTTTTAAATTCATTTTAATGACGATTCTTTTACTCTACGATATGAGTTTACTAAGTTAACGTGTTGTGATAGTCGGAATGTAACATTATATTTTGGGCACAAGTGAAGTTTTATAAATTTCATTTTCAATTAAAGATTAGTATATAAAAAAAAAACAAAAAAACACAGAATTCGGGGCCCTATTCCACGTTGGTGTCCTGTTATAAAATCTGGCAACACTTCCTAGGACATTGTGTAAACTTTGCTCCATGGGATTAAATTTGCAAGGCTCCCCTTATTTATCAAAAACAGATGTTTCGCAGAGTCTACACAGCAACTGCCTACATCACAGGGAGCGCAGGAGGGTAGTAGGGCCATATCAAGTGCATCTTAAAGGGCCACTCCAAGCACAGTAATTTTGTGCACTTCAACTATATTTATTTAACTTTCCATTTATTGTCTTTTATATGGCTGTTACCATGTCCCCTAAACTTACGTAGTGAGTGGAACATATCTTGGCGATAAACTAATGCAGGGATCTCTGCCAGAAAGGGATTTATGGGATAAGTGTCTCTAAATAGGGAGGAATCGGCCTGTAAGTAAACTTAACAGTGCATTAAAGGAGACTTTAAATGCATTTATCATTTTATATTTGTTTATTTACTTTTTTATGCAAGTATACAAAGTTGTGCTGTGCTTACACTGTCCCTTTAAAATCTCTACAATTCACTGTTTAATTGACGAAGACTAACGCTTTTGAAGTAGAAAGATGTATTTTAAAGGTCAAGTCAAACAGTTGATAAAAATTATGTAGCAATTAAATTAGAGAACCGCCTTAAATTTGACCCTTTACCTTTAACGAACAAACTAATAAAATGTTTAAAATGTTAGGTAACATGGCAGCTTTTGTTTCCAGTGTCTCATTAGGAACGTTTGTGTACTTTGGGTCAGCTTACAGTCATGAGCTTGCAACGCCCTGCTGTTTCAACAAGATAATATACAAAGAACTTATTTAGCTGTGTGATTCTATCAATCGATCAAACAGCATTAAGTCCATGTGAGGTTCGTCTTGTTTTATAATGGGAGTATCTGTAATTATTCAGAGGCTTTGATGGGAATAAGAGAGAGCAAATTCTGACTTATGCCAGCTAGCTACAAGTCTTACTCTCTTACGGAGCACAAAACTTTCTCTGGGAAAAGGAAAAAACATCATATGATCAGCAAAATAATTCAGCTTTGTTTTTTTTTTAGAAAATGTGAAGTTTTTGTGAAGTTTATAAAACGTATAAAGTACTTCTTTTTCGGAATCTTGCAACAAGCACCGTCTGTCCCACACTTGCTGTATTTACGTCTGTCTATACATTCACAGTGTTAATCACATTGTATCACGAGCCTGTCTGCACACTTACTGGGTTTGTGAAACATGCACATTGGCCCGTCCTGCTGGAAATTGGCCACTTTTGCTAGCCGAGAGGAGTTGACGGGGATATGTAAGTAGTTTGGTCCCAGGCGGTGTCTATGTGTGTCTGGGTAAGAGAAGAGACGACCCTGGAATAAAAAGTGATATATATTAAAAATGATCAGTTATCACAAAAAATACAACCCCATAATTTAAAAACACAGACTACACCTTGTGCTGGTTGATTTTAAATTTGTCCACCAAAGAGCACAGATTTTTTTTTTTATATATATACCATAACGTATTTCCCCTACTATAGCCTTGATGTAATATTTGGAATTAATTTTTATAAAGATTTACTATTTTGAAAAATATGCTAATATTTAGATTTTTTTTTTTTTTTTTTAGGTATCATATATTATTTGATATTTTAATATTTTGAAAAACTAATTTTAGAAATAATTTGTCCAAAAAGATTAAATCATTTGAAAAGTTTATCCAAAAATATTGGTAGTTGGAAATTGGCTTGGTTAGATGAAAATAATATTATTCTGTTGGTACACTATTTAAGTATGATTTACGTAAGTATACATCAAACAACAAGGTCTACATACTCTGTGTCCCGGTAAAAAGTAGTTCAATGAAAGATGGAGAGCTTTTGGGGTGCAAGAGAACTATAATCACTATATGACTGAAGTGCTAGATGTGGGTATCTGTAATTGTAGGTGGACTCGACCATTGAGTCTCCCTAGTTTGCTTCAACATGTATAACACCTCTGCCTTTCAGCCTCGGTTTGAGACCATTCCAAGCAACCTGTCTGGTACCTTTTATGGTATAGTGGCTTCTGATCTTAGCTACGATATCCTGACTACATTTATGGACTTTGAATAAACCAAAGCCTCCATAATTCTCCTTCCTGCATTTCAGACTCGTGGTAGACACTGCTGTTCAACTCTCTGTAAATTCTAACACTCACTTATATCTGTTACTTGTGTCACCACCTCTCCTCGAAAATATCCTACTTCAAACTCATGAACTGCCTAAGCACTATAACAGGTATTATACATTGTACTTCATTAAGTCTCCACTCTGGTACTCTCAGACGACACTGTTCCGCTTCCATGTGAACTCCTATTCAGTTTTATAAAGTCTTGTAAAGTTGCTGCATTGTATCTGGTTAACTGGTGTTCATACTGATTCTGTGCATTCCTGTTACCAGTTATCAAAAGTGGAGTTTGAGGAGAGTTCCTGTAGGTATTTTATATATCTGTATCTTCTGTTTGTAGCATACTAATTGGAGGGAAATTCCTTATTTTTGTTCAATCCTGTTTAAAATCTATCCCATTGTTTATGGGGTCAAGCATCACAGTCTGTGCAAAGTTATTGTCTTCTTTGTTCGCCAAATTTAACACCATCACCACCAGAAAACGTGACAGATATCGGTAATACTTAGTATCAGCTGAGCCCAAACTTGAGATGTGTGCATTTGCTCAATCAAAAGGGGTCATTAGTGGAAATTGCTATTTATAAACTAAATTATTGAATTATTTATATAGTTTCACGATTTGTTGCAGAATTGTCCTAAATTCAGACCACCAGGTATGGGCGACAGAAGCAATGGACAGTCTCACCTGAAGCATTTTATCTGGGCTTGGTTCAATTCCAGGGGGCATATTACTTGGGTCAAAAGCCAACTGCTCCACTTGGGCAAAATAGTTCTCTGGATTCTTGTTCAGTACCAGTTTACCCACTGGGATAAGTGGGTACTCAGCGTGAGGCCATACCTGCAGAAGATCAAAGTGCACAAACAGTTAAATCAAAAAACTCATTAGGCAGACATTTTGTTCTAAATAATTAAAACATGCAGGTAAGCTGGGTGATGTTACAAAGTTATTTCATTAATACACCACAGGGAGCCTCAATTTTTATTAAAAATTTTGACAAGAAGCCATATGAATTGCATCATAACTGCTACAATAAACTATAGTGGTTATGGTACTTATGGTACCCCTTTAATCATTGACATTCTCAGCTGTTGTAAGTAATTATCTGATTTCCCCGTAGAAGCGTATGAAAGCTAAACCTGTCTACATGACACTATTAGGGGTTTATGTACTAAGCAACAATGTTCGAGAGCTGTAAAAAACTAATTCCAAACTCTAGGCCAAGCTGGGAAAAGGATTTTACTATGAAACAAAGACCTTGATTCAATATGTTTAGATACACTTTTCAAATGATTTTATATTTTTTGATAAACGTATACAGTGGTTTAATGTTTTGAAAAGTATTTTAATATATTGATATTTTAAGATATATTAATATATATATTTTTTACATAATTGTATACCATACAGCAGTGTGACACATGCAGAAACGTAATCCAAATTCTTAAAAAGTTGGCACTGAATCAAAGTCATTAACCCTCTGGCTATCAAATTCTTATTAAAACTACATGTTGGGAGTTTGTAAGGTGAAAGATAATAAAGAAGGGATGAAAAAGGTAAATGTAAAAAGGGAGAGTTACCGTATATACTCGTGTATAAGTCGATCTCATGTATAAGTCGAGTGCAGTTTTGTGACCAACAATGGTGAAATATGCAATGCCTCGTGGATAAGTCGAGGGTAAAACTTGGGGCTATGAAATTCTGTGATTTTTATAATTATATACACACACACTCATACAAACACACACACTGCATTATATACACACACACACTCTGCATTATACACACACACACTCATACACACACTCTGCATTATACATACACACACTCTGCATTACACACACACACACACACACACACTGCATTATACACACACACTGCATTATACACACACACACTCATACACACTCTCTGCATTATACACACACACTCATACAAACACACACTCTGCATTATATACGGACACACTCATACAAACACACACTCTGCATTATATAATGCAGAGTGTGTGTGTTTGTGTGAATGCAGAGTGTGTGTGTGTGTGTGTGTGTATATAATGCAGAGTGTGTGTTTGTATGAGTGTGTGTATAATGCAGAGTGTGTGTTTGTATGAGTGTGTATATAATGCAGTGTGTGTGTATATAATGCAGTGTGTGTGTGTTTGTATGAATGTGTGTTTGTGTGTGAACTGGGTGGGGGAGGGCATTTTTATTATTTTAAATTATTTTAATTTTAATATTTAAATTTTTTGATTTTAGTATTATTTTTTATTTTATTATTTACTTTTTTAATTTTAATATTTTAATTTTTTTATTGTAATATTATTTTTTATTATTATTATTTAATTTTTATTTTCATCCCCCCTCCCTGCTTGTTAGCTGGCCAGGGAGGGGGGCTCTTATTCCCTGGTGGTCCAGTGGATGGGCTGTGTAGGAGGGGGGCTGGCAGAGAGCTGTTACTTACCTTTCCTGCAGCTCCTGTCAGCTCCCTTCTCCTCTGGTCTGGTCAGCTCCACTGCAAGTCTCGCGAGAGCCGCTGGGTCAGAGCGTTGCCACGGGTTACCGTGGCAACGCTCCGCGCAGCAGTCACACCGCGAGACTTACAGTGGAGGAGAAGGATGCTGACAGGAGCTGCAGGAAGGTAAGTAACAGCTCTCTGCCAGCCCCCAACAGGACCGCCGAGCTTGTAATGAGCCCGGCGGTCCTGGTCTGTATTATTGCAATGTAAGTTGCCATAATACAGACACTGACTCGAGTATAAGACGAATAATGTGCTGAAAAACTAGACTTATACTTGAGTATATATGGTACATCGTTACATAACTGAGAACGAGAGAGCGAGAGACCTCGTCCCTTTGTTCAGTTACTATTTAGATGTGCCCATTCTGACGTCACAGTATAACTCTAGCCATATAAGGACAAGACTGTAAGGAGACGAGAGGAACTAGCTCTAAGCCTGTGTTGATGGAAATAGAATAAAACTTAACTTTTAATATATTTATATATATATATATATATATATATATATATATATATATATATATATATATATATATATATATATATATATATATATATATATATATACACAAAAAAGAGAAAAATAAAATAAAAAGGATATGTGATAAAGGTGAAGACAATCTCAAATCTCAAAATCTATAAAAGTCACCCTGTAGCACTGTTAGTAAAAAATCACTGTTGCTAAATACAATATACCGTCAAAAAAGGGCAGGAAAAATAGTAATACTGCAAAAATTGTGCAAGAGACAGTAGTGTCTGACGATAGTTGTGCACTCGAGGAGAGCAAATATATGAAGTGTAGAAACAGGGGTAAGCTAATCTGTGCCTTCAAGGGCACCTATTCAGAAGCTGATTCTTCTAACTCTGTCTTAGGCTGAAGAATTTTAAATGCTAGCTAATCGGCAGATAAGGTCCCTGCAGCTATAAACTATACTGTGCCTTCGAGGGCACCTATCAAACAGTATATCTAGCTATCACTGTCTGTTGGAATAATGCAGATCACCCGCCAAAGTATCAAAACACCCAATTCTGGCCGCTGCTGGTAGATATCGTAAAAATAAATCCGTGGACAAAAGTTAGCTAACAATATGCAGGTCACTATCAAATTGTAGCCTGCAGTCAAGGTTGGGTGTTAGGATAGAGCCCCGACGTAGGTTTTGCTGGTCAGGTGGCTCTTAAGGACAAGACCCCCAATCCACATTCCAGAGTTCTCATACAAGAAAACCTTGTGACTTATTGGCAATAATAATAATAATGACATCTGTTACTTATGTCCATCCAGACATTCATAAATAAATCAGTAGGAAAAAAAAATATTAACTCATTTGAGAAGTTTAGCTTATCCAAAAATATTAGATCAAGGCCCAGGTTGGATAAAGTTTTTAACGTGATTATTTTGCTCTAAACTTTGCAAGCAATTTTTTCATGTCTCCACAATTCCCTCTTTAGTGAATAAATTCCTTATGGACTAACTGTCCACGTGTTCCATGCTCCCAGTAAGCAGCCTTAAATATCTCTTCCTATTAAATTTTTATTTTACTGCATTCCTCTCCCACCCCCAACTCACACTTTAAAAAGAAAGTGTTGCCTGAAGCTACAGAACAGTTTAAACAAGAACACATAAGAATTTAAGGAGTAGTCAGCAATCTTTGTTTAATTTTTATTTTGGCTTAATATCAGCTTGTAAATTTAATTCATTCATTGTATCCCACACAATGTGTTAATAAAAAGTTGTGGTTTTTTTTTTTGAGACAGTTCCTTTGGACAAGAATGAAAAGACAGAAGGAACCACCATTATTAATTACCAGAATTCATGCAGTTGTCATGTTTAAGTGGGTTTCGTTACATGATGCCTGGGGAATCGACCTACAGAGGGGCTTAAAAGGTCTGTTCAGAAAGGTTCTAGAGAGTAAAATTCGAGTTTCTCTGACTGTTAGGGTTACGAAGTGAGCTAGAGCACCAAGAATTAGAACACTTAGGTTTAAATTTAGGGTTAGATTTATGGACTGATGGATCCACCATTAAGACGACATAGGCAAGGTGCTACGCTGTTGGGGGAACCACCTCCACATGCACCAATCTCATATGAAGATCTTGAAGCCCTATTAGTGTGCTACACTTCACTGGTCTGGTGATCACTGCACTTCTGCTGATGATGAAGGACTGGGCAGATTAGGGACTCTCTCCAGCTATATAATTTATTGCTTGCAGTGGAGCACCAACCCACTGGTAGCCTTGGTCGTCTATTGTCAACTTAGAGGGGTCAGGCAGCAGCACAAGAAAAGCAAAGAAACAGCAAGAGACACATTTGGGACTATTTGAAATAATCACAGTACATATCTGACCAATTGTACAACATTTTCTGACTTGATGTTTCCTATAGTTAATCAAAATTAAAATAACCAGAATTCAACTAGAAGTGTCTTTCAGTTTTCTAAGGCACCAGACACCTTAGAGTTGGCTCTCCTGACGTTAAAATGATACTTAGGACTACATATCATCTTAGAATTAGGTTCAGGTAAAAATAAGTTAAGTAAAATTTATTTTCAGCATCTACAAAGATCTTAAACATTCTAGAACTTTGTAACCCAAGTCAGAACTTCTAAAAGGTCATATAGGTATGAGTTAATATTCTCCTGAGTTTCACAGTCCCTGATGGCAAATATTTGCTTCACTTACTTTGGTTACGTCGAAAGGATTGAAAGGACATTTCTCTGCTTCTTGAAAAGTCATGACTTGAATGTATAAGGTCCATGATGGGAAGTTCTTCTTGGCAATAGACTGAAAGAGGTCTCGGATTCCATAATCTGGGTCACTCACCACCAACTTGTTTGCTTCTTCTACAGTCAAGTTTTTGATGCCCTGATCAGTCTACAAGGAAAGTTGTGCATCTGATTTAAGGACTTTAAGGTTGCTTTCCTCGGTTGTAACAGAATATAAGAATACACTACTAATGTAATATTACAAAGTATATATGTGATATATTAACACAAATCATTAATTAACCAAAGATAAATGTTACATATTGGGTCAGCTGAGTATTATTGAGTATTGTAGATAAAATGTGGAATATCTACCTGTGAATAATGTCATATCTAGATCACAAGGTTCTAGAACATGGGAGAACAAGTTAGAATGACAACAAAGATTTCAAGGAAAAAGATAAAATAAATATATTTTAGTAAATAATTCAAAACAATCAATTACTGTATAACATTTAAAACTACTTTACTTAAAGGATCACTATAGGCACCAAGACCACTTCAGCTTAATGAAGTGGTCTGGGTGCCAGATCCAGATAGGATTAACCATTTTTTCTGTAAACATAGAGAAACTGCTATGTTTACCTATGGGTTAATCCAGCCTCTAGTGGCTGTCTCATTGACAGCCGCTAGAGGGCTTCCGCGCTTCTCACTGCGATTTTCACAGTGAGAAGATGCTTGCGTCCATAGGAAAGCATTGAAAATGCTTTCCTATGGACTGGCCGAATGCACGCACGGCTCTTGCCGCGCATGCACATTCAGCCGATGACGGAAGAAGAGGGAGGAGAGGAGGAGGAGGAGAGCCCCCGCCCGGCGCTGGAGAAAGAGGTATGTTTTCCTGGCACTATAGTGGTCCTTTAATACTCTAGAGGTTTGGGTTAGGGTTAGGGTTAGAGTTGGGGATTATGATTAGGATATGGTCAAAGTCCATTCGATAAATGCCTTCTCATGTCTGTTACCAAAGGATTAGACATAGGCAAACATTTGGCTCGTCCATGAATGATTCGATTAGTTCGAACCAAAATTCTTTTAACCCACACCTGAACGAATAGATTCTTCTGGAAAATAAAGGTGAATTGATTTGTTCAGGTGTTATTTACAAGGATTTTAATTTTGGTAAATTGTCTTGTTTAATGGACAAACCAAATTGTTGCACATGTCTCCTATGAATGTCCCAGTCCCACACACCTTGAAATGAAACTTGCAGTACACTGCGTCCCCTTCTGCATTGACCAGCTTGAAGGTGTGAGATCCATAGCCATTCATATGTCTGTGACCATCAGGAATGCCACGGTCGCTGAACAAGAGAGTGACCTAAATAACGACAAAACACACATTGCTTTCAATCAGCATAAATATTAGATGTGAAGCTTACCAACAATCGTATATTTGAAATCCGAAATCCCTCAGTAACCGGACCATAAGAAGACAGGTAACTTCCAACGGACGTTGGAGCACTGCATTGAGGCACTGGGTTTAATTTTCTAATTACCTCCTATGGACATAAATGATAATTTCCACTGCCAATTCTCTACTATTCTCTACGAAATGAGTGGATAAACGCCTAGGAGTGTCTGTGAAGGAGGTCTGTGAATGATGGGTTACTATGGAGGTTACTAGACTTTGCAGCTTTCTTCAACAGAAAAATAAACAGACTTTTAATCGTGAGTCATTAACGTCTGATAAAAGTCATGGGATGATTTTAAAGCCGAGGCGGGGGACTATCACTGGTAACAGCGTGAATGGATGCAGATACTGTATTTGTCCTCATATACACCCATTAGCCTCAAGCACACCAACTATAGTGGCTAAAGTATGAACGAAAGAGGGGTGTTCTATCTCAGTATTAAAGTGACACTGTCACTTCTCTAATATTTGCACATTCACACAGCTAAATAAAAGCTAGCTGTGGATTCTAAAAATAACAAGTGCTTTACATTTTTTTTATGTAGCATGAAAGGCTTTCTTGGACCTCCATAGCATACATTGTAATTTTCTGTAATAAGCACAGTCCGATGTGTGCAAGTGCCATGACAGTACATGCAGGTGGGTACGTCACTATGGAAGATAATGCCTGAGCAGATGCACTCATGTGGCACTTTCCAATCAAAGTGTGCTGGAGAATTCCTATGGCATCATGGACAAATGACTTTGTTTGCATGGGAAGAATTAAGACACACAGGATTGTCAGACAGCGCTAGGTCACACTCATCCTTATAGAAGCTACTGATTGTGAATACAGTACGGTACAGTACATACGCTCATTCGATTGGCCAGTGACAGACTGAGAGTGTCAGCTGTTTGTAAATAGCTAACTTATTAAGCATGTAGAGATTTAGCTGATTTTAACAGCTGACGAAATGGCAGCTGAACTGAAGTCTGAATATGGATTAAAAAAGCAAATTGAGATTTTTGAATAGTCCAAAGGGTTCCACTTAGCAAGCTTACTGTTCAAACACCCAATTTGGACAAACAAACCCCATTTGGCTGTAGTTTAGCACATTGTCAAAAGAACTTCATAAAAGGGACATGTATCAGAAATATTTCTCTCTGAAACAATATCAATTTTTTTTTGCATATTTAGCAAATTTTGTATGAGGAATCATCTTGTAAATTAAATCTAAATTCAAGGTTTATGTAAAATGGGTGATTGTCAGGGGCGGAGCCTGGCATCCAGACTGAGCGGTTGTGCTGAACCTCAGCTCCCGCTCTAATCTACACATTCTAGGGGTAAATCCCCAACAAAAACGGCACAATCGCCCACTAGACGGAAGTCATCATGACGGGGACTACCGGGGGACTCACCCGACACCAGAAACAAGCCCGGGGACCCCGGGGACCCGACAACATGCCCCGGGGCCGGCCGGAGATCAAGCATCGGGGAGAAGGCCGCTCCCCGGGCTGACTGACCTGGACACTGGTCCCTCGAGGCTGATATCTCCTACCCCTGGACCGACGGGGGTCATCTCGGTCTGCACCAAGCGACATGAAGGGCAGTCGCTGGCTGATACCACAACACAACACACCGCAGCACAAGGGCAGCCAAGCACATGGTGCACCCAAAATGGCGGCAACTGCATCCAGTGAACCAAACAGTGTACCTGCAAGGGAGACTCACAGCGACATTATGCAGAGTGTGGAAGCTGCATTTAACCGATTCTGGCACGACCTGAACGAAAGGCTGCACGCACAACCGGCGGCCCAGCACACCACACCGAAAACAAGCAAGCCGAGCCGTCCCCATGTGAACAGGGGAAAGCACCATTATACCGATGAGCGGAACGCAAATATCGAGCCGTGAACAGGGGGAAGAGACGCTCCACTCCAGGCAAGGCCACAGCCCCCAAGATACCTGCCCAACAGCTACCGCAGAGGCTGGGCAGTAAGAGTTCCAGCTGTCACGCACCTCACAGATACCTAGCCTCGAGACAGAGGGCCCGAGTATGCAGCCTCACGATGTCGGTCATCACTACGACCCAGAACTGGGAGACCTGCGTGCCCGACCCATACTCGGCACTACTCATGGACAGCCTGCGCTCCCTCCCAAGCCGGGGAATAGGTTGAAGCTGGACTCTGGCCACGCCAACCTTAGAGTATAACAACCACTCAACCTAGCCATCGATTCCCCTGCTGACCTAATCTACTTAACCTTCAGTATACTCAGACAAATGCTATGCTTAAATATGTTTATTGATTAGATCAACATGTATTGAATCATACTTTCTAGTACTCATTAACTAATCTAAAGCAACAGTTATATTTAACCTTCCAACCTATGTATACTTCAGCAGTGTAGTTTAATCAAATATCACTCTATATAAAAATTGTGCAGAATATTCCACTTGCCGACCAACTGTTAACTATCTGTTTGCATGCTTGTCAAAACGATTGGGGCATGACGAGCCCACTTGTTATATTTTCATGCACTCCAAAAATAAAGAATTAAAAAAAAAATGGGTGATTGTCTACATAGCTGAGATAAGTGAACTCAGTGGTTGAGTCAGTTTATATTTCTACATTCTACTCACCTGGTGCAAAGACTCAGGACGTAAGCTCCAGAAGTCCCACACCATATCCGGATCCTTCAGGTTAGTCTGAGGGTTCCTCTTCTGACTGTGGATGAAGGATGGAAACTGCACAGAAAAGATATATTTTTTAAAAAGGTATAAACCATGTAAATGCTTTGAAGCTAACATATATTATTTCACATGCAAGGCAAAATATTCCTAGTAGCAAAATTATGTGAGTGGGTATACAGCAGACTTGTGCAAGGTGAATATTTTCAGTTCTTCCAAACTGATCCGTTTTGGATTTTTGCCAAAGCAGAACCCATTCTGAATTGAGAGTCAACTGAAACAGCCACGCTAACGCACTATTTGGTTGATTCTGAATTTGGGTGGAGTTCAATTCAAAATGCGAAAATTCAAAAGGACATGACATCAGCGAGATTTGCACGAATTTCAATGCAGACTGAACTGAAAGTTCAAGTCTAGAAAACAGTTCACTAAAATAGGGGTGGGGGAAAAAAATTAGATCTTTAGCCTTTAACTGCAGCAATATCTACAACCAGGATTCTTTTACTTATCTGAAAGGAAGGGATACTCCAGATCCGTAAAGCAATTCAGCATGCTGAAAAACTTAATTTGTGAAGAGTATGTCCTATTTTGTAATTTTATAAAAAGTGCATACTTAAATAGAAATTGACATTTTTACAAACAAACCTTGTCACACCCTGGCTGTCAGACAACCAGTCCTGTTACTTCCTAGTTTGTTTAGCTCAGACAACTAAACTCGAGGCCCAGGGCCTTGCAAAGACTTCTCATTGAGCTGCATTAGGAAGTCTGTGATTGGACAGCCACAGAAAGTCTGGGTGGGGTTATAAGGGGAGGGCTTGCAAAGGCAGCAGACAAGAGAACTACCCGTTTTTGCTGTTCTGTTTTTCGATATACCCCAATGACACAATGCATAATTAAATGCATACATGTTTTTATTGAGGGTATTACTACTAAATACTGATTTTAATTTTTTTTATATTTGGCAGTGGAGTGTCCCTTTACACAACAACTAGGGGTGGACATTCCTGCCACCCTACCCTGCAAATACAACATTTTCCATCATCTCAGCAGCTTTGAATGAGTGCAGTTCTGCTGGACTCCCAGAATGCATTGCAAAATATGCAAATAAGCAATTACTGCTTGTCCCATGTGGATTAATCACAAATAAGGAAGGAGAATAAATCCTGGGAAATAAAGTCAGAATAATTCGGACTAAAATGTCAGAGTATTTATTCTGCATTTTAAGTTACTACGATGTTATACTCAAAGCTATCAGACTGACCAAAATGGCGTCTCTGATGAAAAATATAGGTGTGTTGTTCCCAGCTAAATCCCAGATTCCTTCTTCTGTGTAAAATTTCACTGCGAAACCCCTCGGATCACGGACAGTATCAGCTGAACCTGCTTCCCCAGCTGCAAACAGATGGACATTGAGAAAAAATGTTACTTAGACTTAGAATAGTAATGTGAAGCTAAGGAGAGGTATATAAAAGAATAAAATAAAACAATCTGTGAAAAAAAAAATTGCAATAATGAACGCACCATCTAATTTTTCTAAAAATTTAACCAAGTTTCGGAATTTAATGCTGGCAGAACTTTGGTTGTATAGTATTGGCAGTAGAAAGAGGGAAGTGCTCATGCCATTGTACAGAACACTGGTGAGACCTCACTTGGAGTATTGTACACAGTACTGGAGACCGTATCTTCAGAAGGATATTGATACCTTAGAGAGGGTTCAGAGAAGGGCTACTAAACTGGTTCATGGATTGCGGGATAAAACTTACCAGGAAAGGTTAAAGGATCTTAACATGTATAGCTTGGAGGAAAGACGAGACAGGGGGGATATGATAGAAACATTTAAATATATAAAGGGAATCAACACAGTAAAGGAGGAGACTATATTTAAAAGAAGAAACACTACCACAACAAGAGGACATAGTCTTAAATTAGAGGGGCAAAGGTTTAAAAATAATATCAGGAAGTATTACTTTACTGAGAGGGTAGTGGATGCATGGAATTGCCTTCCAGCAAAAGTGGTAGGGATTAACACAGTAAGGGAGTTTAAGCGTGGGATAGGCATAAGGCTATCCTAGACTTAAGATAAGGCCAGGGACTAATGAAAGTACTTAGAAAATTGGGCAGACTAGATGGGCCAAACGGTTCTTATCTGCCGTCACATTCTATGTTTCTATGTTTCTGTAATTGTACCACTTTGATAATTAGTAAATAAAAATGTATTTGGCAAACAAACAAATACTTTATATTTTTAATACACCTGCGCAGTGTGCCATTCATACTGAAGCACTCCGCATACAGAGTACCATGATTACTTAAAACAGTGAAGTGGTCATGGTGGTAGAGTAACCTTTTAAAGAGGCACTGTGAGGACCATAATTGTTGCAGCTCATTTCCCATGGTGCCGTTCCGGTTTAATATAAAACATCTAGATACAATTTAATATAAAACAGGGCTCTTCCAGAATCCATGGGACTGGCCCTAAGCTGCACAACATTGACTGGCTGAGAGTGCTGGCCTAACAAACCCACCCCAGCACACTCAGCCAGTCAATGTAGCCCAGGTTGGACAAAACAGGACATTGATAATGCAGTATTGTTAATTCTGTTCTCCTTTCTGTGGCAGACATGGAAGTGGTCTCTGGGGGCTGAGAAGAATCGAACTATTTCTAAACGGTTTAATATTAAACTGGGGTACAGTGCCATGGCACTCGCGGCTGCAGAGGTTATTCCACCTAATGTGCCCTTTTAAACTTGTGAGTAACTATATGGATTTAGAATTAGAGCTCAGTGTTCCTTCCATATATTTCCAAGTGAACAACTAAGGCAGCTCTGTCCAAGCAAGTGAGAAATCAGAATGATTTATTTAGTTTGATGTTTCATAAAGTCCTGATAGTTGCTCTATCCTCACCTACGGTGGAGAATCGAATAGCGATGTCTGTTTTCTTCCCGATTGTATCGAACACCTTTGCCTTCGTGTATTTCGTGACATCATGAGTGACTTCAAAGTATCCGAATGCCCCTGAAACAGAAAGCCGAAATAATGTAATAAATTAGATATCACAGCGCTACTTGGGTTGTGAGCAGAAGTTATGAGATCTGTCACTTGCGGTCATCCCATTTTTATTCAGGTTTACTTCTAACAAGATTATTCACTAAACTGAGAATTCAGAGCATTATTTAGATAGATAAATCTATGATGAATTTTTAATTCACCTTGAATTCTCGCTTTAGTACATACCTTGTAAATAATTCCACCTAATATCCATTTAGATTCCCCCCAGTTTCTATGCCTACCCAATTATCATAACTGCAACAAAAGATACATTCATTGCTGGTAATACAAAGTTTAGGTAGGATCATGATCATTGTCTTCCACTAGGGGGCGCTCACACAGTAACGTTCCATAGAAAAGATTGAGTAGCCCATCCAGAATGTATCTCTTGTCTTCAGATGGCAGCCAATCAGAACACAGCTTAACAGTCCCCTAATGATACAAGGCTTTTGCATACACATTTCTCATTAGCAGCTTGGCATGCTTTCTGCTTTCTGACCTGTCCTACTTTATTTTTGTTAAATAAATGATGACGCTGTGTAATATGCTATGTGTTGTTGACCTGAGGTTTTATTTACCAGATTTTAACACCTGCTAAGGAACAGATGATTGTTATTATGTCCCGATATGGAAAACTATAGAATTTAAAGAGGGTGTACTTACTTTTTCCCATGACTGTATTTGGGATAATTTTCATCTACAATATTGATCGTGTAAAGTACCTGCTTTAAAAGCTCCTCGCTGTTTATTTGGGACTTAAGTTATTTTTTATGGAATACCGGTATTATGGAATTAGGGGCACAGATTGCAGTAATCAGTGGCACAGTCTTCCAATATTTAGACGTTAGTGCACAGATCACAATATATAGCAATCAGCGGAGCAGTTTATTTAGTGTCCTGAAGAATCATGATCCCCTCAGTAATGTTGATTGCTCCCTTGACACCAGTCATTGCAGTGATAAATTTTATTTAAATTATCAGAGAGAGATTATGTCACAAAGTTCCTCTATATAGAGTTTATCCCCTTTGTTGTTAGAGGTATACCGCCAACACCGGCCATTAGGATGTTACTAGTCAGTCCATGTAATAATAAATAAATCATTTCTAAACAAAAATATTTTTAATGTAATTTACTTTGGTACATTTAATTTAATTCAATGTGCTACTTTAAATTGTAATCAGGAAGGAAGGAATCCGCACTCATCTGATATATATGAACCAAGGTGCACAGCAGGACCCGAGGGCTCGCGAACCCACACGTAAACGTAAAAAACAATGTGATCTAGGCATTCAAGGTACAAACAGTAGCAGATTTATTTGGAGAATCAGAAAATAAACAGCAAAGTTTTGACCTTCAATGAGGTCTTTATCAAGCTACTTGTTGTACTTTAAAGACACATTGTTACGGGTTGTATCACTATGAAGCTGTTAAATACTCCCATCCGAGGTTTGACATAGAGATATATTATAAAAGAAAATAGAGACAGACGGATTAAACACAAATTAGGGACTGTCTCCCCTGAGTAAGGACACTTGGGAGGTACACTAATGGAACAATGCTTAAAATACTCACCAGCTCCTTTAGCGTGAACTACTCTCTCGGGAATCCTCTCTCGATCAAAATGAGCCATCTCATCGGTGAACACTACATCCTGCATTAGCAGTGGCCCTCGTTGGCCAGCGGTTAAACTGTTTAGCTTGTCACCAATTGGAATGCCAGCTCCTGTGGTCATACAGCTGTGTGCCTGAACAGGAACAAATATTGGACAGTGAGTAACGGACCTACAATAAACCAATGCAGAGAACAGACAGCGCAGAGGGTCAATCATTCAAGTGAGGTCATTTTTATCTTATGAGCAACTGTTTACTGTTTTAAATAGAAAGATTTAAAAGGACATTAATGGCATCTAAATTACACATCTCATTCAAGGGATCTTGGTGCATTGCTCCCCTCCACCCTCCCACCCCTGCAATGACTACCAGACAGCCACTAGAGGCACTTCCTGCAGTTTTACGGAGTTAATCTACGCTGGACATCCACACGCTTTGCACAAGGCCTTGGATGTTCCTTTAATTCTTATCGCCTCTGATCAAGAGAATTGCTGTTGAGGATAGGGGTGGGAGGGGCAAGAGGAGGGTAGCTGGCAGATTCTTCATATTTTCAACTATTTTCAACTAGTTCTGCAAGCACAATATATAGATGAAATTTTGTGACCTTCCTTTTAAAGAATCACTATAGGGTCCGGAACACAAACATGTATTCCTGACCCTATAGTGTTAACACCACCATCTAGCCCCCCTGGGCAACTCATGCCTCCATATATATATAGCAAAATCTTACTGTATTCAAACCTGAAGCTGTAACTCAGCATGTTGTTAGACTCAGAAAAACAAGCAGTTTGCTGAGATCATCAGAAGCTGTAGCCTGATCCAATCACAATGTTTCCCCATAGGATTGGCTGAGATTCACAAGGAGACAGATCAGGGGCAGAGCCAGCATGATTCAAACATAGCCCTGGTCAATCAGCATCTCCTCATAGAGATGAATTGAATCAATGAATCTCTATGAGGAAAGTTCAGTGTCTGCATGCAGTGGGAGGAGATACTGAATGTTTGGATGCATTTTAGGCAGCCATGACCCAGGAAGGATCTCTAACAACAATCTGAGGAGTGGCCAGTGAAGTTATCACTAGGCTGTAATGTAATCACTGCATTTTCTCTGAAAAGACTGTTTACAGCAAAAAGCCTGAAAGTAATGATTCTACTCACCAGAACAAATTCATTAAGCTGTAGTTGTTCTGGTGACTATAGTGTCCCTTTAACTAAAGTTGCATGCACTATGGCAGGTTAGGTCCATGTTATACCTAGCAAAGAATCAATGGGATTGCAGCACTAACTACATCAATGATACAAAGGGGGCACTAACTACATCAACGATACAAAGGGAGCACTAACTACATCAACGATACAAAGGGAGCACTAACTACATCAAAGATACAAAGGGAGCACTAACTACATCAACGATACAAAGGGAGCACTAACTACATCAACGATACAAAGGGAGCACTAACTACATCAACGATACAAAGGGAGCACTAACTACATCAACGATACAAAGGGGGCACTAACTACATCAATGATACAAAGGGGGCACTAACTACATCAATGATACAAAGGGGGCACTAACTACATCAATGATACAAAGGGAGCACTAACTACCTCAAAGATACAAAGGGAGCACTAACTACATCAACGATACAAAGGGAGCACTAACTACATCAAAGATACAAAGGGGGCACTAACTACCTCAACGATACAAAGGGAGAACTAACTACATAAATGATACAAAGGGGGCACTAACTACCTCAACGATACAAAGGGGGCACTAACTACATCAATGATACAAAGGGAGCACTAACTACATCAAAGATACAAAGGGAGCACTAACTACACCAAAGATACAAAGGGAGCACTAACTACATCAATGATACAAAGGGAGCACTAACTACATCAACGATACAAAGGGAGCACTAACTACATCAATGATACAAAGGGGGCACTAACTACATCAAAGATACAAAGGGGGCACTAACTACATCAATGATACAAAGGGGGCACTAACTACATCAAAGATACAAAGGGAGCACTAACTACATCAAAGATAAAAAGGGAGCACTAACTACATCAATGATACAAAGGGGGCACTAACTACATCAATGATACAAAGGGGGCACTAACTACATCAACGATACAAAGGGAGCACTAACTACATCAAAGATACAAAGGGAGCACTAACTACATCAATGATACAAAGGGAACACTAACTACATCAAAGATACAAAGGGGGCACTAACTACATCAATGATACAAAGGGGGCACTAACTACATCAAAGATACAAAGGGAGCACTAACTACATCAATGATACAATGGGAGCACTAACTACATCAATGATACAAAGGGGGCACTAACTACATCAACGATACAAAGGGAGCACTAACTACATCAAAGATACAAATGGGGCACTAACTACATCAAAGATACAAAGGGAGCACTAACTACATCAATGATACAAAGGGAGCACTAACTACATCAATGACACAAAGGGAGCACTAACTACATCAACGATACAAAGGGAACGCAATCTACATCAATGATACAAAGGGAGCCAGCTGAGTCTTAAACTGATGCAAAATGCCTCCAGGGTTTTTATGAAATTGAGCTATATGTAACAGTAAAATATCTGCTGGGAGAATCTGCTTGTGACTTGAACAGTGAGCAGGGCCAGGCCCTGGGATAATAGGGCCCTGTGTATAATTGAAATTGGCTCCTCACAGCCATGACTTGTCAGAACAGTTCTAATCCATCATAATCTATTATTGCATAACAGCTACAGTGTTTCCTTATGGTGCCATAAATTAGAGTTATAAAATATCTGTAATTCAAACCCAGCGGACTTCATTGAGCTACACATGAGATTTGTTTATGTCCTGAAGAGAATAAGGAATTCTCTTTTAGAATTTATTTAGCATACGATGAAATGTGGTGAAGTGACAAAGCAACTTTGCAAATTGTAAGTGAAAATATCTCAATCAGAGAAATTATCCAATTCTATTAATACATCTTGGCGATTTTGGTCTAAAACATATTTTTTTTGGTTCAGTAAATACCCCTCTTAAATCAAACTGTTAAAGGGGGACTATTACCGTCATGTTAAATAGAAGGAGCTGTATTGAGGTGTCTCTGCTCCACAAGACAGACATTTTTATTATGTTAAATATTTCTGACATCCCATAATAAGCTGAAGACGGAGAATCCGACAGCCATAATAAAGAGATCCTTTACAGAAAGTCTATTGAGTATTTATATTCATAGTATAAACAGGTCGGGCGGGGGTTAACAAGAAACTTCTATTCTTACAAAACTCTTAGTGAAGCAACATCAATAGGAAACAGAATGAATTACTACACTCACTCCCTGTATCTCTTAAAGGGATACTCTGAGCACCACATGCTTTACAGCTTATTGTAATGGCTATGCTGCTACAAAATGGTTTCTAAAAATATACTTTTTATATCTCCTTTATTTCCAGTTTTTGCAAAATCTCTGGTACCCAGACTGTGGCAGACATTATGAAGTCTGGGCTGTTGAGATTAGCTGCTACTTAGTATAAAATGATTAAAAACAAACAAACACTGCTATCCTGTGACATGAAGACATGCAGGTCTGAAGACCCCTGTTTCTGGGGCTGTAGCCTTTATAGCCATCTTGTAACAATGCCAATTGTTGTCCATACTCCTTGCTTCATCAGCATGAATTAGCAAATTCCACTTGCAGGAACTGTGTGCTGTGATAAGAACAGGGACCAGGGCTGCTGAGGGTGAGTACATGCTCACAGAGGAGGCTGACTGGAACAGAGAAAGGAGGGAGCAAGTGCTCACATCATACAAGTACATGGAGCAGGAAATCAGTTTTTACCAAAAGGCATCAATGGTTTGGAGGGTGGGAAATGGCAGAATTTCAGACACGTGTATGTAGCACTATACTATTATAATGTGCTGAGAGGTTCATAGAGTGTAAGCTCCTTTGGCCCTTTTCACCTCTTGAAACGGGAGGGAAGGCAAGATTGACAAAATCGAGAAACAACAGGAAAATAATATTAACAAAAAAACAAAGTGGGCAGATATGGCGAAACTGCAGATGTGCAAAAAAGTTGAGAAACTACATTTAGGATAAGGAAAAGATAGGAACACACCCTGCAAGAAAATGCACATCCCCCCCTAACTAATTAACCAGGGTGATCCCATAGCTGGCATTCTGTGTTTCCCCTCCCTTCCCCAACTGGCACATACAAGCTTGGCACACAGACAGTGCTGGTCTGTTCCCCAGGTCTCCTAGCATTCTATTGCATGTTCTCATAGAGCCATCCAGGAAATAGAAAGTCTGTAACCACCTCCATCTTAATACTCTGCAGCTTCGTGATAACAGAATATAAACAGACACCCAGGTTCATAAAACCAGCCTGGATCAAATCAACCCAATGTATCCACTGCCTACATTCCTTCCCTGGAACTCTCACCTGGCACTGGTTACAGCCCAGCCCTCACATTGGAACTATCACTCCTAGCACTCACAGCAAAACCACGTCCACTAGAACATTCACTCCTTTAACTGACAGCTATATCCCTTCCACTGAAACACTTACCCTGGTAACTCATAGCCATCTCTCTTAACTTGGAACTTTTACTCCCAGTACTCCAATTATATTCCTTTTCCATGAAACCACTACTTTTAACACACTCACCTATATTTCTTTCCAGATCGTTGCTTCCCCTGGAACTCTCACTCCTATCACTCGCAGCCACAGTCCTTCCCTGGACCTCTCTCCCAGCACTCACAGCCACATTCCTTCCACTGAAGGTAACTCAGAGCTATATATATCTATATCTTACCTTGGAACGTTCACTCTCAGCACACACAGCTATATCCCTTTCACTAGATCTCTCATTCCTAGGGGATGGCAATGGTATGGCCTATTGACAGCTAGTAATGGGATTGGGTTTGTCTTTAAATGGTATTTTTTGTAAAATAGAATATTATTGAAAACACACCCTCTATCAGTTAAAAAAAAAACAAAAAAACATTTCTTGTGAGTTGTATTGTGATACATTCATAGACCTTACATTGTATTCATAACACCAGGAAAGTGGGGACTGACCCCACAAAATCGAGCTGCTTGTGTTATCTCTCATTCCATCCCCCCCCCCAAAAAAAAAAAAATTATCATTATTAATCATTACCATAGTAACAAGCACCCCATGCACCTCTAGCAAATGGCAAGCTGTCTCAGCACTGGCACAGCCAAACACGTATTACTAAAGCAAGTTGTTGTACCCCCATTAAACCAGCTCCAAACCTCATCCTACTCCAATTAATTAATCCAGGCACTCATCTACCCCCACTGAGGACTTTAGATGAAGGTACACTGCAGGATAGCTACCTTGGAATGGTCCATTGTGAGTGTGAGTTCTGGTTGCAGGTACTGCAGTACTGAGTGCTTACTCCTGTATCTGAATACTTGTGAACTGCAAGCAATTTTTTTTTTTTTTTTTAATCTTTAAATCCCCACCCACCTCCTACACATACACACCTACCTCTACCTCATTGGATAAAGCACTTTGCTCCCCTTCCAGTTGACTGTTGGCTGAAACATACATCAATAGTCATAGCTTGCCAGTACCACCTCTCCACATACAGCCATACATAGCCCCACCTGTGTACCCAGCAATGCTCAGAACTGCAAGGAGTCATGAGCAGGCATGATCCTTATTGCATTAATAAAAACTGCTTATTTAACCCTCTTGCAAGTCAGACATTGTTTTCAGAAACTTTTACAACTGCAGATCTTGGCAGTGCATTGAGGAAATGGCATGGCTCTTGGCAATAAAGAATACATGGTTACCAATATACTCCATACTGGTAGAGGATGGCTTAATACCATAGGAATTGCAATCTATCAGAACACTAAATTGGTTATTTCTGCTGCAGTAAAACATACTGAGAATCCTGAGCTACAGATTTAATAAACGCTTGGCAGAATATCAGATTGCAAAGTACATAAATAAAATTAAGAGACAGAACATTAATTTAAGGGTGTGTGTTAATTTATAGTACATATTGACTAACATTATAATAATTGCATGTGTGGTGGGTAAAAAGCTTTTCCTAGGCAAATTATTTTAGCTTTAAAACACCATTTACCCAAGCAAAAACCTTCACACACTATATATCTATACAGAATTTCAAATATATTGAACCATCCACAAGTAAAATTGTCATTTTTTTTTGGGTGCTTTTTATTCACATCGCTTTCTATTGTATTCGCTCCTTTTTACCATTATGGAGGATTTTCTTAGTTCAGATGACAGTATGCCTAAGAGTATACTACATGCTTGAACTTGTTTTGATCAAGGCAGGTCTCCTCAGTGGTTGGTTTAAAAAAATATATAAAAGAAAAAGAATCCTAGTATTTAATTTTTGAAAGTGGTTATTAGAAATATCAAAGGAATAACGCAGGAGGTCTCGGTCTTCCTTTCCCAATTATGCTTAAATGGTTTCCATTTATAGATCTTAACACTCACTGTCAATAAATATATTCTTTGTTATCTGGATTCTTTTCTGTGGATACATAGAAAGATTGTTTACATAAACACCAGGTCTCAGAGTCTCCACTCGCCCACTAACAACTGGAGAGTAGAAACTCACATCTAGGGAGTGTGCCATGGACCTTCCAGCAGCGACTGTTAGTAGTCACTAGTAGGGTATGACCTGACATTTTGAGCTCTTCATAATATTATCGCCATTTATATAGCGCCAACAGACGTTTTTCACTCAATATAACAGAATACAAGGAACTGGAATTTTGGGCCAATACAGCCACATTAGAACGTTAACTCGAACTCAGCTCTTTGGTTTTGAATATTTTGGGCTATAGCTCTGCAGTTACCCTGCCAATTTCTGTCAAGCCAATGAACACATTGAAAGTATTTTCTTCTATCGTGCCTGTATTGTGAAAGACCTGGTGATGTGCCAGTTGTCCGTTTAGCAGAGTCAGAATGACAGTTACAATTTGAACAAATAGCTGATCCACAAACAAAAGTTAATAAATATATATATATATATATATATTTTGAGGTTAAATAGGGTTTTGTGTTGTAGATATGAATCGGCATTTTCTTTGTCCAAACAAGAGAATTTTGTCTTCCAATGCATGCATAGATTAGAATTTGGGAATGTGATTGATGAGTTATAGGACACAGACCAGTACCAGAGACAGTTCTCATACTTTTAACAAGGATTTAGAACACAAGAGAGCAGATCACTCTAAATATGAACTGCAAGAGATTGCAGCAAATAAAAACCTACTGTGAACCCACCACCTCCAATAATATTGGGTTTGTTCACTAGATAGAGAGTGACAAATGGAAAATCAAATTACAAAATAAACACCAACTACCAAAACCGCTAAGCAACCTGGCCTGCAATGCCTACACTTTGCACTTTCCAATTCACTGTTTAGTGAATAAATGCCAAAAATGTTTAGACAGTCCCTACACTGGGCTATAATGAACCCCCACTCACTACTGGTATTATGGGAAGGATGAGCCGACCTCCAAACTCAGAACTCAAGAGTTTCAAAAAGCGAATGCAGAAATAGTTGCTCTTCCTCTTTCTTTACTGGATAGAGAACTCAATATAGGAAGTTTACTCCAATGTGGCCCAGAGTAAGAGAAGAAAGTCTGTTTACACAATACTTGGCAACTCAACTATCGGTTTGTTAATATGCACATGGGAGATGAGATGTAGAACCAATTGCACAACACATGGTATGTCAATAACAGAAAACATGTATAAGGAAAAACATTTTATACAAACTTAATTCTGATCAGAATGTTATAATGGATGGATCCATTTTTAGTAATGAATGACCAAATAGGTCATATGGAAACAATATGACCATAATCACGCCAAATTAAGTTGGTGTAAATAAAATTCCAGATACCACTAATAAAATTGTGTTGGGCCACTAGATCACGCATACTGCTATCCCACCTATCAAAAGTTCTGTATTTAACATTAGAAAATAAAATGTATTAAATTTCGCTCAGGAGAGCCAACAAAAATGATATCTTAGGAGCTTATGGTTCTCCAGCATTCCTAGTGGAGGCACAAGGCAGTACTCACCCAGGTAAGAAGGCAAGAATGTAAACATATTTTGACTTATTACAAAAGGGGGCAAGATTGAGCATTTCTGGTACCTGTAGAGATTTTGGTAGTCGGAGTGTTCCTCAAAAGTGTAAACCTGGGGCGGGGCCTGACCGCCATGCTGCATGGTCGCACGAAACCGCTCCAACGACTGACTTTTTAAGCCTAAAAGAGTAACTCCTGAACACGCCTGACGACCAAAAGTTATAGACTTACACCCATGGGAGCTCCGGTCCTGAGGAGAAGCTAGCAGCAACTGTTTTAGTTCCTCGGGGAGATACACACTGTTCTCACTGGATGAGGCCTACTCGGGCGGTGAGCGGGGCGGACGGCCGCTGCCCCGCTATCCTGAACAGTGGTATAAAGCTGGACTCACCTAACTGTATGTACCAGGCCCCGTTCCCCCCCTTTGGGCCGGCGGGGGTGATCCCGGCCCACACCCTGTGGCCACTACCGCGGAGGAGATCGTGAGACCCCACAGAGCTGCCAACCCACAGCCCAGGCCGCAAGCCACGTCTAAAATGGCGGCAGCCACACACTCACCAACTCACACTGAGGAAACTGCTAGCTGCTACACAACTACCGCAAATCCCAGGTGGGCCCTAAATACATGCAGAGGGCAACCAGGCCGACGGGAACACAAATACTCACCGCATCGCCACCAGCCCGACTAATGTTCCCGAAAAGCTCGGTGCAACACTGCAGGCAACCGGTGCACAGCAACGCTCCCTCTCCTGGATCTGTCCCTCAGCACGTTCATTGCAGCACTGCGGGGATTGACGGCTAAATTGCAACAAGATGGTCCTAACAGTTGGAGGATATTGGATGAGAAACATTATGCCAAATAGGAACTCTCCAGCCTTCTGCCTCCATAAACATGGACTCTATGTGGTCACATTTTCTAGTAGCACCTTCAGCCTTATTACATGTGAAACGCATTAAACATCAATTGGGGTACTGGTAGTTAACCACCTGTGGTGGGGGTCCTGGGGCGTTCACACACGATAAACAAAAGTGTATTCATAGCGTCTCAGCATTTATACTATCGTACTGCGTAAGCTAGACATATACCCTCAGCCCGTGAAGCGCAACATATCGTTAGAAACGTTTTTATCTTGTTTAAATCGACTACTCAGCGACATTTGTTTTTTCTGCATGTATAATCTTACTTGTACATCACACAAAAAAAAGCGCGCAACATCTTGACCTTTTCAGCATATACTTGTGATTATACTTCTTGTTAAATGCCTATGTCATATTTTGAGCAGGTACTTAACATTGTGCTTCCAAAAAAAATTAAAAAAAAAAAAAAAAAAGTGTAAACCTGATGACCTTAGATTTCATCCTGAAAATTCGTATTTTCTTTAAACTGCCATATATACATATCAGATTTATTTTACATTTTAATAAGACATTAAGTATGAACTAGACAGGTTTATCAGAAAGATTTATTTTATTTTTTAACGTTACATCTTCTGTTCACAGGCATTTAACTTTATCTGCGTCCAGCAACAACTTGCAGAGAGCCAGCTACCCAAAATCAGGAGTAACAATAAGAAATCAGGAGCCACTCTTCACGCAATCCGCAGAAATTAAAGAAACCTTTCTTACCTAGTGCATTGTGTGCCTGTCACATTATATTGGTAATTATACAATATCATAGCTTGCCATTAATATATTAATCCTTTCATAAAGGCACATAGTAATTATTTAGGAATTAAAACATCTTTATTAGTTATCAAAAACTATTGGTAGAAATGGAAGCAAATCAAAGAGTATCAGTTAATATATTTGGCTTGAGATAGAGGCTGAATACAAAAAAAAAAAAAACTCACTTATGTATATATGGGGGGTTTATTCATTAAACAATGAACCTGAGTAAATTGCAATATTCAGGCAAGAAAGATAGCCAAACTAGAGCTGATAAAAAGTTTTTCCAAATCAGGCAATTTGGCATAAGTTCTCAATTCTGTTTTAAATGCACTGCTTCATAAACCCCTTCGATTTAATCTCAGTTTCTAAAAAGATAATGTGATTTTTCACATAACTAGCCATACATTTTCAACATGCAAATCATTGACATGTCACAGTTTAAACCAAGTGTTACCATTAATGCTTGTGTTTCAAGATGGAAGGTTATTCTTTAAGTTGCTCATCCAATCGGCAGCCAAGAGAGAGTTAAAGCATTAATCGAAACAAAGGCAAGATTTGTATTTCATAAGTAGTACAATCGTTAGCGTCTTAGCTGAGCTACACTAAACAATTAGATGACAGGTAGGGGCCTGTGGACGGATAATTCTTTAGACGTAGACAGGTTACAAGTTGGATTTGTCTTTTGAAGTGGGGTAAGAAGAGTACTGGGAGTACGTTTTCACGGGTTTCTGCAAAACAACAAAACATTATTAAATTGCAAGAGGATTGAGTACTGCTTGAAAAGACAATTAAAATAATATGGTTTGTGGTGATGTGAGCCGCATGTAAGAGTTAGGAGCAGCAGCAAGGTATTCCGACCTTGACCGAAATTTTAAATTTTTTTTTAAAGAAAGTCTGCTTCTTCAAGAAGCCTGGTGCCGCCAATGAAATTTCACCAATGCAAGCAGTGGGTGCGGAAAGATATTCCAACACCCTCTGCCTGTTACGTGCAGCCTGCTGGGTTGGGAGCAGGAAGGAGTCTGACAGACAGTACACAGCTACCCTGCTTCCCCACCACTAGACACCAAGGAATGATCTACATACCGAGTGCTGTTTTATATCTACAACTGCTTCTATCATAGACACCAAGGACAATCTGATATAGCTCCAGCCTCCTCTGCTCACCCAGTGTTCCGACAGGTAAGCTTCACATGATGGAGTCTGTGTGTGTGTGTGTGTGTGTGTGTGTAAGTATATATATATATATATATATATATATATATATATATATATATATATATATATATATATATATATATATATATATATATATGTGTGTGTGTGTGTGTGTGTGTGTGTAGCATGCATCCATAAATCAATGGCTAGTTTTAGACACACGTACATGTGAGGGCGTTAAAAATATATAAAGTGTGGGAGCACATAGCCAAAAATACATCACTGGCTAGGACAACATAATCTAGGAGGGCAATGGCCAACTAACAGTGCTGTAGTTTGTGCACTAGAGTTTAATTGGTCTGGCTGGGAAAAGTAGTAAACAAACTTCTGTGCACCATTGTAACCCAACAATGACCTGGGAGTTCTAAGTGGATGTTCTATAACAGTCACTAGTTTTCAAAATGGAGAAAAAAGGAAGGACATCAAGGGAGAGATTGTAGAAATGAGGAGTCTGAGAGCTTGGACAGGATATTGATCCAGTCTTGTAAGCAGCAAGTAAGGTCTATATTTTCACATTATGAAAGTGCAACAGGTTTTAAAGGTTTATTGTCCGAAGCACAAACGGAAATAAATATATCAAACACACACACACTGTACCTTTGCTGGACACTCCGCATTGTATTTATCCAGAAGGGCCCTGACCTGGGAGCCATAGTCAGGGTCAACATCCATGAAAGTTTTCACCTGTGAGAAGGAGAAGAAAGGTTAGACCGTTCAAAGTTAGAGAATACGGTGATCGTTCATGATACACCTATAACAGAGAGCCATGTTACTCACTGCTCTGTTCTGGATGAAGATCTGTGCGTCCTTCAGATGTCCAGCGATGTTCTCACACAGACGCTTGCGTTCCTCTTCACTAAGCACTTTCCTGTAGAAGTCTCTCACCTTTAAAAGATGTTGCAAGCATTAAAATTGGCACGAATAGTCATTTCACACGTGGATACTCACTAATTTGAGAATTGCAGGGAGTTCAAAGTGAATTTTAAATTTAAAGGTCAAAGAAGCCAAGCTTAAAGCATGGGTGACTGGGAGAACTCTTCCAGTTCAGCTAATCTGACCTTAAATTTGAAATTCACTTTGAATAACCCCAATAGATTGTAAGGTCATACATGCCCAGTGTTAAACTGTAAAGGACTATTGAGCAGCTGGTATACATGACTCAAAACCATTTATTTGCAGGAGATGGTAGGACTAATACCACGTGGATGAGTCTACAAGTAAAGTGAAAGTAGGAAGAATTTGGACAAACTGTTGGTTTTTATACACTAAATCATAGACTATGAAGAACTGACAAAGCAACTGCAACTTTTAGACCAAAAAACAGGTAAGCTGAAAGTTTTGTTTTTTTGTTTTTTTTAAAGGGCATTAATCAATGCTTTCATATGGAGTGAAAAAAATCTGACGCTGGAAGTCCTCATGCAGAGCGTCCGAGGTCTGTTTCGATTCAGGAAGCCCTCTATTGGGCCAGACTTAGAGCTGCAATATAAACTCTTCTCTGGAACTAAGTGCAAAAGGGACACAGCACCCAGACCCCTTCAATTAGCTGGGGTGGTCTGGGTGCCTACGGTCCCTCTGCTTTTCTAGCTCATATGCACCCTGTGAATTCTTAAATTCCCGTTTTAAAGAATAAACTTCTAAAAGTCTTGAGAACTAGAGGTGGCCTTATTTACTGAAATACCACATACATGGTCTCTTAGCAGGGAATGGAAGCCTGAAGAGGCACTGGTGATGGGCAGGGGATGAAAGGGAATAAAAAGTAAAAAACACTTCAGCTTTGCGTAATAACTTTGTTTATATTTGTAGTCTTCATGGACACTCTAGGTTTCTTTAGAGGCAAGAGAAGGCATGTTGCGTTAACTATTAGGTCCCCTGAGAGAGTGACCCATTACCTGGGAGACATTATCTTCGTCTGTGCTGTTGTAACGAGCTACATCAGAGGACACTTTAAATTTGTGTTCCTTCACGCAAGGCTGGTTTTCAGGAGCAGAGAAACTGTTGGGGAAATAGTTTGGAGCACCACCTGAAGATACAAAAGAAGGCAAAAATATAACAACAACAACGTATTTAACTAAGAAAGGCACATTCAGATTACTCCGGTTTCCAAGTACGTCCTGGGAATGTTACTTTTGCCCAACATCCAGGGGATGTTACGATTATCTAATTTAATATAACATGTAAACATGCTCATTATAGGTTGACTTTTCCAACATTCCACAACAATGACCCGTTGGATACAGAAATGCATAAAATAATGAGGTATTTGGTAAAGAATGGTTACAAGGTCTCAGATTAGTTAATATTTCCAATGGGCCTAACATGAGTTGGACAAAGAGGGAAAGGTGGGAATCCACACACAACTAGGATGATGGTTTGAATGAAGGCATGGACTAGATTTCCCCTATTGCAATTTCTAGCAGAGAAATGCTACAAAGTCCACTTTACACTCTACTTCCTGTGTAAGAAAAGTTTTAGTAACTGAACCAAATAAGGAAAGCTTGGCCATCGTGCAGGTCACAGTGTACATCAACATGCTCCTAATGTAACCTTACAGCTGGGTAAAAGCTAGTGAGATAGTTCAGTATCTATAGCTCCAGTATTTCAGAATTACACACTATGGCAAGACCAACACAATCATTACAATTTAGTTGTGTATTAACATCTAGAACAGCAGTTCCAAACCCGTGGTATGTGTTCCTCCAGGGGTACGAGCCAGTTACTCCAGGAGGTAGGTGAAAGAATGCCGTAATGGCAAAACCAGCTATGGAACTGCCGCCGTGCCGGTAAGCTGTGGGTCCCCTGCCCTAAGGGTATGGGCCATCCGATGGTAGTTCTCAACGGGGGTGAGGTTGGGCACAGTACCCCTTTAACAGCGCTACTACTGGAATATCACGGATTCTGGAAGAAAGCGAGTGCCTGTCACTTCCCCCCCAGATATAGTGAGAGCCATGTGGAAGGGAGAGAGCAGGCAGGAGTGGAGAAGTAAGGCAACTGCCAGCTCCAAACCCACACTCATATCAAACTCTACCAACACCAAAACCTTAAGGAAGCCACACTCCTGCACAGAAAACAATTTATGGTTTATTTATTTTTAAATGTATGTTAAAAGGAATATGGGTAAAAATATAATAATGGTTAAACGTGTTTGTCTATGTGAGTGTGCATATTTGTTGTTTGTGTGTATATCTATGTGTGTCAGTGTATTTATTGTTGTGTATGTCAGTGTACATATACCTGTGCAAGTATGTATGCCAAAGTTTATGTGTATATGTGCATACATTCCAGCATGCAAACACAAAAACCACATGCCAACACTCCCTTGCAATCAAACACTGGGGCAGAGGAAGAAAATGAATAAATAAATACATAAATCTAAAATAACAGCAACTATATGAAATAGCATTTGCCAATATGAGGGGTGCAAGTTATAAAAAGGGGTACCCTAGTGAAAAAAGTTGGGATCCAGTGATCTAGAAGATTAGATTTACTTCAAAATGCTAAAATACTCTTCCTGGATAAGATACTATATTTAGTTTTTCATAGGGTTAAGGATTTAATGCAAGCAAAACTGCAGAGACATGACAACCCATTATTACAGAATGGATTGGCACAAGTAGTCAGGCATTATTCACTGCGTACAAGAATCACCATATATTGCAAGAAAACAGGGGATGTGAATTTAAGTCTTCACTTGAAACCATGTAGTTTAATTTTTCCAACTTTACACTAATAGACTGACATATTACCGATACCAGTATTGGAAATATCTTTGCAGCTTACCCTGGTTATCAGAAAAGCACATGGGCCCATCCCGTTGGTAATTGGCCACGCGAGCCCTGTATGGGCAGTTCACAGGTAGCTGCAGGTAGTTTGCACCCAGGCGGTGTCTGTGTGTGTCCGGGTAGGAGATGAGACGACCCTAGATCAAGATTAAAAATAGCAAAAATAAGAATAAATGAAATATGTAAAAGGATATAGTAGATAAAATCTACCAAAGTATTTAACTTGGATTATAAAGTAAACCGGACAAAATAATCCATTAGTCTAGCAATCTTATTTTACTGAATGTGGGAAAGCTTCTGTTTACACAACATTGTACATTAATGCTTTCTGGACTGTTCTCCATAGTCAATCTTGTGTTCTAGAGGTTCCTACCTGAAGCATTTTATCGGGGCTTGGCTCAATTCCAGGGGGCATGTTACTTGGGTCAAAGGCCAGCTGCTCCACGTCTGTAAAGTAGTTTGTTGGGTTCCTGTTCAGCACCAGCTTACCCACAGGGATGAGTGGATAATCCCCATGAGGCCAGATCTAGTTGTAAAAAAAAAATAAAAAAATTTAAAGTGGACTTTACAGTGTTGAATTGTGTTACTATTGGAGTTACTCAAGTTCCCCAATTAAATAAGTGCCAAGTTCTACAACCTGATTTTTAGACAGTTGGAAACAAAATCGCAAGCAAAAAAAGACCAAAATAGCCTATCTGGAAGAATTCTACCATTCAACTATTGTCACAGGTTGTCAATTTGGCCTCATTCTTTCCAGATTTTAAGTTTGCCAATTCCAGAGGTTAGTAAATATATAAAAAAAGTCTTCCAAACAGACTAATGTTGCTAGAACAGAGCTAATTGCAAATAATAAATACCACTAACTTTGGTCAAGTCAAATGGGTTGAATTTGAATTTCTCTGCTTCCTGGAAGGTCATGACCTGGATGTAGAATGTCCAAGATGGGAAGTTCCCATTGGCGATGGCTTCATACAAGTCATGGATTGCATAGTCCGGGTCTTCAGAAGCCAAGCGCTGTGCATCCTCCACGGTAAGGTTGCGAATACCCTGGTCAGTCTGTAATGACAATGCGCATAGGACACAAAATTACCAATAAAACATTGCTGCACTCTAGTGGTAGATTGTAGGTTTAACTTTCCATTATATATTTAGCATAACCAGCAGCACAAACCAATGCACGTTTAGATGAAAGATTTAAAAGGGTAACGGTCATTTTTCCACCTATAACGTGATTGAACTTTTTCATGAAATACAAATTTTTCTTTCGAAAATTTTGTACAAAGCTACATTGTAAATTAAAGGCATACTAGAAGAACCAAGAACACTTTAGCTCAGTTACTTATCGTTAAAGGTGAGGTCTAGAATACTACACTGAGAAAGTTTTAAATACAAGTATTTTAAAAATGTAATTAAGGAAAAAAAATAAAATAAAAAAAATCAATAAGTTGCGCAACATTTTGTATTCCAACTATAGGTCTTTATAAGGCTGTATGCGTGTTAGGGGCCAATTCTTATATTGTATCACATACTGACCTGCTATCCTACTAGGTAGCTTATTGCACAAGCACAGAGTACAAAAAAGTATCAGGTCTGGTTTGGTGGAGTTCTGGCAGTTGCAGAGGTTTATATAATCTTTAATCATGAAATGGAAATCTAGTTACCTTATAATGAAATTTGCAGTATACTGCTTCACCTTTGGCATTCACAAGCTTGAAGGTGTGTGACCCATAGCCGTTCATGTGGCGGAAGCCATCTGGAATGCCACGGTCTGAAAACAGGAATGAAATCTATGGGGTTGGAATGGGGGGGTAGAGAAAAAAAAAAAAAAAAAAAAAAAAGTTGTTTTGAATGTCTTTCTTCACAATAAAACCAACTTTGAAAATAAAGTACAAATTACAGTTATTGAGGCTAAAAATAGGAACAATTCAAACATGGATGGACAGCTAGTAAGCAACATATCCATTATATGGAGGCGTGGGAGACTATAGCAATACCATGAGATTGCGTATTCTATTTCCAAAGTCAATTAAGTTACACACTACTAGGTTGATATAAAAACAAAAAAAAACACAAGTATAAAAAGGTTTACATTAGATTCTACACCCTTTGTTTAAAACTGAATAAAAACCACTACCCACAAATCGATGGACATTCTGTGAGAGCAATCATGATGAGCTGGGTCCAAGAAGATGCTTCTCAGAGGCACTGAGGACATGTGACATGGGTGTGATTTCCTGTGATCCAGTAATCCAATGTCATTTAGAATCATCAGCCACATTCCGTGTTATCATGGTGTACGTGATGTAGCTAAATGTTTATTTTTTACACGAAAGGGCATTGCCCATGCACCAAAACCACTACATTCAAATCTAGTTGTTTTTGTTCTCAGAATGTCCCTTTACGTTGGATACTTCTTCCAACTCTTCTTTAGGCATAAAGACATTTATTTTTTTTAAATATATAAATACATTTCAAAAAATCCAGGGTCAATTCCCTGTAATACCAGGTTTAGTGAATAAACCTGATTATTAAAAGTATTGTGTCCATGATGTAAAAAATTTTTTTAACAAAAACAGTGATAACCACTTTCATGCATTCATAGATACCTAAACCTACTTTAATTTTTAATATTAGATTAGTATCCACCAATATCAGTGTACCTGTCAGCCAGTTCAGCCCCTGAGGTGGTCAGCTGACAGAGTGGAGGCAGGCAGGTAGCTGACAGAGCGGATGTATGTTGCCAGCCTGATCAGGGAGACCATAGGAGGGTGGCTGACTCAGGGAGAGTGGAGGTGGCGAGAGCGCTGTAACCTTCAAGCCCTGCTCCAGTAATGCTGAGAGCCAGAATAGCGCGTTGCCCTGGAATTACTAAACAGGGTGTGAGGGAGCAAAGCAGGGAGATGACAGCAGTCCCACTAGACCCCAGCTCACCCAAAAGGTAGGGAGGCTGGGTGGACATTAAAAATAAAAAATAAAAATCACAATTTAGGATTGTGTGAGAAAATGTGTGTGCGCGTGTCTGTTACTGAATGTGTATGTCAGTGAGAGTGTCAAATCAGAGTGTGTAGGTCTGCCAGGGAGTAAAATCCACGTGGGCGTGTGTCTACTAGTGAACGTTAGTCAGTGAGTGTGCGTCAAACCAGTGCCGAATTCTCTCCTGAGGAAGTTCCAATTGAGACAGGATGAAACGCGTTGGGTGAAGGTGAACACTCTGCACAGGATTTGTGACTACTAGAACCACTTTTGACTCTGTATGCCAAGGTAAACCAGCCACCAGGAGTTGTGACTAGTGGAGCTTTTACTGCAGTTTGGTTAAAGCAGGAGTGGTGGTCCTAAACTCTGATTTCCTAGTGGAACACATTAAGTGATTTTTTTCATGCATTTAATTCTCTAGATTTTAGCTTATGGTATTGTGTATGTTTGATGGTACTGGAATAAATGGTTTGTTTTAACTGGATTCTCTTTTAGGTTTCCTTGTCTCTTCTCTGTCAGAGGATGTATTTATAGCCGCAGGATTGGTAATTATTTCTGCATGCCTGGTATTTAGTGCCCTCTAGTGTAGATTTAAGATATTACTTAAGTGTGCACACTACTTTTAGTATTATATAAGGTTACTTTTGGGAGTGGGGTCATTTTACTCGCCTTTTTCCAACCACGCTTTGCAGGTTTTGACACAGCTGACCCAGTCTATGGCTGATATCAATCTTAATGATATAATTTTGCCCACCCAATGCTTTCCCATAGGAATGAAATGGGAAGCTATTGCGCATGTGTAGTAAAACCTCACTGTGCCAATCAACATCTCCTCGTAGAGATGCATTGAATCAGTGCATCTCTATGGGGAGTATTAATCGTTTCTATGCAGAGCGTGGAGATATTCTACATAGAGATGGTCACACTGTGCAGCACGAACCCAGGACGTATGTCTAGAGGCCATCTGAGTGATTGCCACTGGAGGTGTTACTAGGCAGCAATACAAACACTGCCTTACATTGTTTACATTGAAACAAAGCATGCTAGGACTGGCTAGACACTAGAACCACTACATTAAGATGTGGTGCTGGTGACTATAGTGTCCCTTTAAGAATTGAATTTTTTTGATGTTGAAAAACTTCGCTCCCAACTTTTTTTTAGCTGGCTACTAGATTCCAAGCAAATATGTCAAGCCCTGACAATTTGGCCATATGGATAGATTCCTTTGTACCCAAAGAGCTGGGGGACCTCTCGTATTATTGTTATTTGGATAGCGATACTAGTCCTCTACTAGTAAAATCAGCCAGCACCATCAAAGTGAAAGGAGTGTACTTGTTATCACCCTCCACCCAAATGCACAAGGGTTTCATTTAAAATAATTTAAAAAAAAAAAAATTTAAGTGTAATAAAATGCATGCAACTTCTCCTTTCCCCCGAATAACACAACTCTGGGCTACAGGATATCAGACACAGTGAACAAACCTGGTGGAGACATTGAGGAAGCAGTGACCAGTAATCCCAGACCATGTCTGGATCCTTCAGATGAGTCTGGGGGTTTCTCTTCTGAGAATGGATGAATGATGGAAACTGCACAAACAGAAATTCATAATCAATTAAGTTATTGAAATGCAAGTCCAGTATATATAAAGCAGGACAGAGAGAGTATAGCCTTAGCTACACAAACCAACATTACGTGTGTCACATTAGGCAAAATAGGTTTTTGTGTGTAGATGCTGCCTCTTCTCAGCTACATTAACAGGCAGTGATTTGGGGCTTAAATTCACACTTGGTAAAACTTAGCAACTTACCTCCCGATAATTGGGTTTTGTTTTTATTTTTTCCTTTTCTTTTCACGAAGCATATTACAGCTGATTCATCAGATTTTAAATATTCCGTAATGGTTTATAGTATCACAGTTATGTTATTTCCTAATATGAATTTCATACAAACATTTCAATCACAATAACTGCTCATTAAAACACAGATCATATAAAAAATAAATAAAAACAAACGTATTGCGTCAGTTCTAATGATAAATTCTCTCGTCTATTTATGTAAATACAATGGAAGCGATTTTACTGAATAGTAAAATGTGCGACATCCCAGTTATATCCCCCTGTCTCATCTTACCTCCAAGCTAAACATGTTAAGATCCTTTAACCTTTCCTGGTAAGTTTTATCCTGCAATCCATGAACCAGTTTAGTAGCCCTTCTCTGAACCCTCTCTAAGGTATCAATTTCCTTCTGGAGATACGGTCTCCAGTACTGCGTACAATACTCCAAATGAAGTCTTACCAGTGTTCTGTACAATGGCATTGGACACGGAGTATTGTATGCAGTACTTGAGACCTTATCTTTAACCAGGAAAGGTTAAAGGACCTGATCATGTATAGTTTGGAGTAAAAATGAGATGGGGGATATGATTGGAATGTAAGTTGCTAAGATTTTCAAGTGTGAATCAAAGCCTCCAATCACGGTCTGTCAATGTAGTTGAGAAAAGTGTCAGCATCTGCACACAGACAGGGGGGATATGATAGAAACATTTAAAAACATTAAGGGAATCAACACAGAAGAGGAGATTATATTTAAAAGGAGACAAATCACAAGTTTGCAGTGATGTTACTACCGCAAAAGATTCTGGGGCATATGCACATTAGTTTAACAAAGAATCACATGTTTGCTTCATTCCATTTTAAACAGATTGCTTTGAGTCTGTTTGCTGTATACAACAGCTTTGAAACACAACTTAGGCAAAGATGCAAAGCCAGGGAACCACTCATGGACAGCTGTTTCATTGTTAATGCAAATCAATAGCAAAACCGTAACCGACCTCATGCTGATGAGGCTTGGTAGTGCTTGGACAGCTGTCCATGCGTGGTTCACTGGCTTTGCATCTTTTCCTAAGTTGTGTTTCAAAGATGTTGTATACAGCAAACACGGACCCAAAGGAATCCAGGTTTAAAATGGAATGAGGCAAAAATGTGATTCTTTGTTAAACTAGTTTGCATATGCCCACCCAGAATCCTTTGCGGTGTAACATCACTGCAAATTTGTGATTTCTTTGGGAAAAGCAAGTCTTATGGCTTGACTGGTGTGCAGATTTTTGTTCAACATTGTTAACTATCCACAGACTTCAAGTGGAAGGGGTTTTCAATCACAATTTTTTCCCCACCATAACCTTTTTTGACACTGAGACACACCAAAAATAGTCTAGCCTTCCAACTTACTGGTCTTGTTGCCTGGTGCTTGTTAGCATAAATATAGCAAAAGGAGTGTTGAGATAGCACTCCCAGGACTCCAAAGGTAGTAAAATTAAAACGTAACTTTTATTCTTCACAATCAAAAGATTGAGGTTTCAGTTTGCAACCTAAACTCCTGAAGCGTTGGGAGTGCTCTCTCAATGCTTATTTGAGAGATATACAATATATTTATTATAATAAAAAACATTTTTGTGTATATACACACACACGATAAATATAGTTAACCATGACAGATGCATTCTGTATTGAGGTATGTTGCCATAGATCCCTTAAAGGATGGTTCTTATCTTCCTTCACATTCTAAGTTTGTTCAGTGAGCCACAGTGCACACTGAACTAAAGAAGAAAGAATAAACGTTTGGGAAGATTTACAAATATATTCTGTTAAAAATAAATAAATGTTACATGACATAAAAGGAAATGGCATATAATAACAATGATCAATAGGGAACCAAGATGGACCTGCTCCGTTCTAGGATAGCAGTAAATACAGAAGTGTCCATTTAAATATTTTTTTTTAGCTCGCCAAACCATAGTTGTTAAATAGGGATAAAACGCTTAAAAATAAAAATAAATGTAAAACAATAAAAAAAAATAAAAAATAAAAAAAATCCACAACATCTGCAGTACTCTATTTTCACCACAATGCTGCACTATGCACAATATTTCTTAGCTTCCCTAAGGCAAAAATACAATATAAACTATTACACAACATGATCACAGTGCCCAGACTTTGCATTTAGTTCTAGGTCACAAGATTAAACATGTGCTTTGGCGTTTTTAACCCTTAGCTCTGTTCAGAAGATTAAATCATTATGCAAGCTGCTCTGTAGTAGCGAATTCTAAAGACTCAATGCTTTATAAGCCAAAAGAAGCGCTAGAGTGTAAAGCAATGCAGAAGTCTACTGAAGAAGACACAGAAAGCGTTAAACAGCCAAATCTAATTTATGTAGTGCTAACAAACCCCACAGCGGTTTATGGAAGTTTTAATAAAGCATTAATTAAAGCGCATGTTCCCATTCAAGAATTCTAGCAAACGTGTCAGATGAAGTCTCATAAAAACATAATGCCAACAGTCATCTGACGCCCTTTCCAATCAAGTTAAAAGAACTCTGGGTATGCCAAAGAAGTGGTTATGGTGCACATAGTCCACTGGCTATCTTACCTTTAAAGTGTTAAACAATTTACAGTTTAACACATACGTGGTGTCCAGTCTAGCTATCTAGCTACAGGGGGTCACAATTGGAGAGGTTTTACAATAGCTAATGCCAGTCCCACTCTCCTTTGGATGATATAATGGGAAAGTTAAAACAAATTGCCATTAAACCTCTCACCACCACAGAGCTGGTACAGGCTGGAGATAAGGATAAGTGAAATAAATTAAGATACTTCTCAATGTGTGATAATGGGTTAAAACCCCAAATTACAGGCTATATTCTTAATCTGCCCCTGAAGCCACGCTAAATCCATCTGCGTATAAACCCCCCAAAAAAAAAAAAAAAACAAGGGCAATTCAAAACTCATTGATGGTCACCTCCATTTGCAAAATAAATAATTAAAAGTAATATATCAATAAAAACTTCCGGCTAGCTCTGTTTTAGAACAGTTATTGACGTCTCAATTAAGAGACAGTTGGGATTATAGCTACCCTCTTAAAGTCAAGAAGCGATTCTAAACACCCAGCATTCTATTGATGCTCACCAACATGGCATCTCGGATGAAGAATATGGGGGTGTTATTACCAGTTAGATCCCAGTTTCCTTCTTCTGTGTACATTTTTACTGCAAACCCTCGAGGGTCTCGAACTGTGTCAGAAGAGCCAGACTCTCCCGCTGTGGTGGGGGGAGGAAGAGAGGAGAAATACATGAAAATTGAGAGAGGGCTCCAAGACAGACTTAAATTATGAAATCAGATATTGGAATCATACCAACAGTGGAGAACCTCACGGCAATTGGTGTTCGTTTTCCAACGTATTCGAATACTTTGGCTCTGCTGTATTTAGTGATGTCATGCGTAATCTCAAAATAGCCAAAAGCCCCTAAAATAAATAAAGTTACGTTTTGTAATTTGTAAATTCTAATCCCCTTTCCAAATCGTCCATTACCAGTTTAGTGAGTAAAAGAACATATAAACTATGAAATGATGATACCTCCGCCTTTTGCGTGAACGACTCTTTCGGGGATCCTCTCTCTGTCAAAATGAGCTATTTCATCCAAGAATGCCACATCTTGCAGCAGCAGTGGTCCCCTTGGACCAGCGGTTAGTAGGTTACCCTTGTCAGATATTGGGTTGCCACCTCCTGTGGTGACGCCATCCGGTTTCTAAATTGAGAAAAAGATGCAACTGGCAGTAAGATCACTAAACCGTTTTGTTTTTCCATATATGCTAGGTCTCTTAAAGCAAACATACATAAACAAAAAAAAAATATATAAAATTATTGAATATACAGAGAATAATTATTATACGCAAACACTTGCACAGATGTGAGACCAAGGAAGTAATATATTGCACAGGGATTCTCCGTCCCTCATTTAAACGGAGGACAAGTATAAGAACCGAGCATTGCACAGCATGTGTTATTTTCATGTATTAGCTTAATTACAACACATTTTCCAACTCACTGTAGTGGTTATGGTGCCAAGAGTGCACATGTACCCCCTCCCCCACAATTTGCCTTCTCTATTTTGAGTCTGCAAGGTGCCCCTTCCCACTAGCAATCCATCAGTGGTACAGTGCTCTAAGTACATTGGCTGAAAGTAATCAGCCGACACGCTCAGCACTGCACGGTTTGCCTTAGTAGAGCTTTGCTCTTTGTACTTAGCAGTGAAGGTGGAAAGCAGTGCCTGGCAGACCTTCGGTAAAAGGCTAAAAAAAAAAAATAAAAAAAAAAAAGGGGCTTCTTAAAATAGGGGCCCTAGGGCCATAACTACTAGAGCAAGCTGTAGTGGTTATAATGCCCAGTGTTACCTTAATTCACAATAGCTATACAAGTTGAACAGTAAAATATAAAAAAACAACTAGAATTAACAAGATAAAGTTCACTGCAACCTCAAATTCTAAAATTAAATAAATTACAAAAACACACACATACACACTTAAAGAAACAAAATACCTACCATATTTGTATTCCTGACACTGTTGGTCTAAATAGCTGTTTAAGCCCCCACTTTCCTCTGGAAATTTTAATCACCTTTATCCCGCGCCATGCAGGTCTGGTCGCAGTTTGCTGCACCCATGCTCTGACCCCTTGACTGATCAATCTTTATGAGCTCAGTCAATCTAGTGCTCGACCATAAGAAAACATTGGGAGGCTTTTACGCATGCACAGCAAAAAAAAACGCCACTCTGCGCCAATTAGCATCTCCTCGTGGAAATGCACTGACCCAATGCATCTCTGTGGGGAAGTGCAGCACTGACACGGAAAGCACCTCTAGTTGCAATCTGGAGTGACTAAAAAGCCAGTTTTGACATTGAAAAGCTTGTAGGGACAGGCTATACACACTAAAACAACTACATTTTGCTGCTGTTCTGCTGACTACAGTGTCCCTTTAACGAAAGGAGAGTCCGATTATCCTTGGCATTACAAAATCTCTTAGAACATGGGACCTTGCCAAACTCAGTGCTACATCTATATTGAGCAGAAGGTATCTGCTTATCTTTCAACTGCCCAATTCCAAAAAAACAATTCATTGCAAGGCAACAAACTTATTTTTTGCAAAACAAGAGCCTAACTGTTTATTCCAAAATGTTGTAGGAGTTGATACAGCAATTCAAGTTTAGACAGAACACACATTTCATTTAATTAATAGTTTGATGGGTGGGGGTTCATATACTGCCCCCACATGTTTTATACATAAACTGCACAAAAATGTTCCACCCAATTTTATTTTTTAAACTACAGTGGAATTTAAAAAAAAAAAAATAATAATTTAAAAAAAATAGTTCACAAGACAAATCAAATGCTTCAGCAATTTGGGAAAATTTTAAACAATGCTGCCAATGTTATTCTGTGACCTTTTACAATCCAGAAAAAAAAAATTAAAAAAAAAATTATATCATGTATTCTCAGCAGATCATGGGATATAATTTGAGCCAAGAAAAACTGACCCAGAGCTGCTGTGAGATCAACAAAAAAAATAAAAAAATTGTTTACTTCAGGAGTAGGGTAAATTTGGCAAACCTATTCAGATTAAATAACTAAAAGCAGTACATGTAACCTATACTAATCTCAAACTGTTTACTACAAAATCAGCTTTTAAAAGAAACAGGACTCCATGAGACTTGTTCCCAGAACTGTAGTGTAATAAAATAAAATGTATAAAATCCTGCAATAAGTACACACAGAATTATATGGGAAATTGAATGCCAGAGACAATTGCATTAGAAAAAGCAGACAAGCACCAGTTATTATACAACTCCAGGCACAACAGCTTAAATGCAATGACATGATGGTGTACAAACTGTCCCTTTAAGTACCACTGGGCCCAAGAGGCACAGATAATGCTCAAAAAAAAAAAAAAAAAAATGTCTAGCGTTAACTACCCATTTTTACTCATCTTGCAGCCCGTGCTAATCTCTGCCCTGACACTCCGCCTCTTTGACGGAGATCAGTGTAGATGATCTCAGCCAATCCAATGTTTCCACATAAGGGAGGCTATTGTTCATGTGCAGCAATATGCAGCATGTTACACCAATCAAATGGCCTCTATCAGACCATCTGATTGAATATTGGCTATTGGCAGTCTCCCGACTCTTCCGCCACACTAGAAGCACATTAATGGTGCAACGTTAATATTGCCTTTCTGTAGAACGGTTTTCACTTGCGGGGTTAAAAACCTACAGGAACAGGACACCCAGATCACTAAATTATAATGAAGTGGTTTGGGTGCCTACAGTGTCCCTTTAACCCCTTAAGGACACATGACATGTCATGATTCCCTTTTATTCCAGAGATTTGGTCCCTAAGGGGTTAAAGGAGCACTATAGGGTCAGGAACACAAACATGTATTCCTGACCCTACAGTGTTAACACCACCATCTAGCCACCCTGGCCCCCTCATGCCTCCATAAATATAGTAACAATCTTACTGTATTCAAGCCTGAAGTTGTAAATCTGCATGCTGTTAGACTCAGAAAAACAAGCAGTCTGCTGACATATGGTAGCCTGATCCAATCACGGTGCTGGCCAGTCAGCATCTCCTCAGAGATGAATTGAATCAATAAATCTAGTATGCCTCCATCAACTCTGTAGTCCCTCTGGTTCACTCTGAGTGACTGCAACTGGAGGTGTTCCTAGCTTCCAATGTAAACACTGTATATTCTCAGAAAATACAGAGTTTACATGAAAAAGGCTGCAGGGAGCTATAGTTCTCACCTGAACAACCTCATTAAACTGAAGTTGGTCAGGTGACTATAGTGTCCCTTTAAGCATGCAGACCATGGCACACCAACGCAGTTATGGTTAAATATGCTAATATATACTGTAAGCGCCCCTGTTTATAGAAAAACAAAATTATTGGTCAAATGCTATAGTTACCAACCAACATGGAAACAAAGATCTGTTCCAGAAGATTGCTTCACTTTTAGAACTTTGCTCTTTACCTATATGGCCCTTTACTTCTTTATATTTAGGTAAAGGGTCAGGCTAATTCACTTTTGCCTAGACTTTGTTTACAGTTCACGTTACTGAACAATCTCCACACAGTGCAGGTGAAGAGAAAAAGAATTAAATAATAAATTCCTAGCCATAAACTTAGCCGGGATTTATGAGGATAAACTAGGATTACAAGGGACTTGTAATGCATACATTAATGGTACATCATAATTCACTAATCAAATGTGACAGTACTTTAACCAAGTGTAGTTTTTCAGATTGTCTACAATGTACTGCTTGTTTTTTGTGAGGGGGGGGGTGGGGGGGAGGTTTATTGTTCCCTAAATACAGAAGTGCAGAATTTAGGCAATACTAGTGGATTTGGAATGGTTTACGAACTTTGCTATAGTCACAGCTTTCCTGAGGTGACCTAAATTATGCCATTCAGACTGCAATTCAGTACAATTCACTGTTTATTAAATAAAACTTTTTGCGGGTAGGATTTGCTACAAAACAGCTGCTGTAAAAAAAACCACAAACAAAGGAAAATAATATTGATAAAAAAAAAAAAAAAACACAGAAGAGAAGTAGACCTTGTTGTATGCTTAAGAACAAAAACAAACAAACAAAGAATTTCTGCCAAGAAACATATTATCCTTCAGTAACTGGGGCAGGCGTTTCCATGCACAGTCTCACCTTCAGGGGCTTACAGTTTTCAAACAGTTCAACCATAAAGTTGGTCCCCCAGTGCTCGACTGCTTCCCCCTTACCTACCCAAATTGTCCTCATACTGCAGCAGTCAGGAAGAAGAGGGTCAGCTGTGTCGGGCACGGGGAAACCAACTTTAGGGTTCAACTTCAAAAGCTAAAGATGTGCTATAATTATACATTAACATGTTACAGATTTAATGAATATATGCATCCCTTCTCCTAGTTACACTGGCTAGAAGCTTGGAGTCATGAGTGCAGCACATTGCGCACACACACCAGCCAAATCACATTTAATGACAGGTACACTGATCACACTGTTGGCCTTGTAATAAAGATCTCTGCACACCAAGGTTCTGTTGAGATTAAGAATATCCTCAGAGCAAGATCAGGGGCACTACTGGTTCCATAGTTCAGAATACTATCCCTTTAACATGGATTGTGGACACAGCAATATGAAAACATGAGAATTATTTCTCAACTACTCATTGAGATGAAGTGATCTGGGTTATCAGCAGCCAATCACCTGAATAAACGTGCAGTTTGTATCGAACATATTTTTGTCAAAGGGAAAATAAACATGCAGAGTATGTTGACTCGGGGGAATTTTAAATAGATTGTAATAAGCTAAATGCACACCCATAAGAATCAGCACACCTTAGGTCTGATCTATAGTAGACAGAACTGTTGGGGAATGACAAAAGAAATTTAAAATTGTTATATTTACAGCTGCCCAATTCTGGTCTATAGAGTTGGTCTACTGAATAACCCTGCGAGAATTTATGGGATTGTGGCGAGGTTTGGGCTTTTGGAGGGGCCTGCTTGCCAGCCTCCTGCCAAAAGACTACAGGCCAGGTCAGTGACTGTAAAGACCCATATTTTATTGCCCCTGGTTCTGCACTTTCCATGGAACCGAACGCTAGCTCACTGGCGGCCATTCGCATGGATCAAAACCGCCGATAGACTTCAGGGGGACCTAGCCGCAAATGCCCTGGAACTATTTTCGGCATGAAAACTTTCCGGTTCCAGGTCGGTCCCCAGCGGCACTTAGCCGCAATTCTATGGAACTGTTTTGGGCATGGGAACATGCGTGCGGTCGGCCAAAACTATGACTTCCAGGAAAGTCCTGAACCAATCAGGGTGATTTTTGGATATGTTGGAGATAATTGAGTTAATACAGTATTTGACTCAATTATCTCCCTGATACAGAGGAGGGATTGGCCTAGTTTGTATGGGAGTGTCCTGAATCTAAGAGCCAATGTGATTGTGCATTTGTTTCTACTGTGGTTTACTCTCAGGTCCAGGGGGGAGTGCCCCTTACATGGGGACTGTCATAAAAGGCCAAGTGTGGTCCCTTTAAAGTCAGTTCACTCTCAACATGTAGCCCCATCTCGTGATTGTAGGGAACAGCTAAACCTACTTTGGATTACTATACTGGCTATAATCACTAGCTCTTGTAAGAGCTACACAGCAATACTCTCAAGAGGAGGAGAGGTCCACCCACAGGAAGCTGGATCCTTGTCTTAGGTCCAGGGTGTGTGCAGGACAGTGAGACCCCAGCCAAGCTGCGGCGGCTAAGGGGCTACGGTGCTTATAGTACTCAAGGCTTCTAGGAAGCAGCGATTCGCGGAGGCACCCAGTCGGTGGGCCAGGCAGTCTGTATCGAAAAAAAAATACAAATAAATAAAATTTCACTATGGGATTCACTGACTAAAAGAGAAATATGCAGACCCGTCAGTAAATTGGTAGTTTTAGGCAAAAATTTCTTGGTATTTTCTAAATGTACAATTCCATAAAAATGTTTGTTAAATTAATATTCACATATGTTTTCTAAAATATCTACCCAATATATATGTTTTATAACAGGACGGTGTTGCAGTAATTTCAAAATGTGAAATGTCTAAACAAGTTCTGAAGGTAAAGAATTTTAAGAGACAACTAGAGGGGACAGAATCCAAAGGACACGGGCCAACGGACACTACAACCAGGGGAGGTGAAATTTATTTTTATTAACCTCTTGTTCCTGTGGAATCTTGAAAGATAGGATTATATTACGGATAATGGTTTTGAAATAGTTTCAAAAGTTTGAAATTGAAAACTTGACATTTAATCTGATTACTACACACACATATACACACACACACACACACACACACTATCTCGGGTTAGATTCCCTAATGCATTCAAAAGATTTTATATTCATTTTTGTACATTGAATGTGTGTGTTCTGTACAAATAAGTACAATGTCAAGATTATTATATTGAAGAAAAAAAAAAAAAAAAGAGAAAGAATATTCTACATGTGTGCCCTGTAAGTGCATAAAATAGTCAAACACCTTTTATTTTATTATCAGTTTTCTTTTTCATGCCAGTAATTGTACTCTCACATTCTAAGGAGCGTTCTAAAAGTAGTCTAATTTGGAACATCAATCAAAAGCAACTATTCTGCATATCGTAGTAACATGTTTGGATGAGCACAGCGCTATCTCCAGTGAGACCTAATATAAAACAAGTCACTATTTGCATACTAAATAAATTTGTTTGTATCAGTTAGGTAAGTTTAACATACACAGTTAGCAAGTTATAATGTGGTCTAAGTATGCCATGAGGTGACTTTAGAACTCAAATGATTAGATAAAACATCAGGTACAAAGTTTCTTGGCACAGACAAACACGTAAACATCTACAAAGGATTCACAGTCATAAGTTGGCTTGGAAGGTCCTCTGGTAGTTAATATTAAACAGGTCAACAGACCCCTAGCACTGACGATGAAAGTTCAATGTAATGTTCCTCTTGACTTTTGGGCTAACCTCTAACCATTGTAACAAGATGTTTTCCAGTATTGCTGTTTAGCACAACTTCAGGATGGCTGAACATTATTTAAACACTCGGGTTATGGCTCACAAACATCTGCAATGCCACGGCTGGCCATTAATGCCCAAAGGACACCTGTCCATCAGGATAATGCATATTTTGGCATTGGCGATTTGAAGAATACACATATTGGTACAGAGAGGCAGCCAAGTCATATACAACATGCAGAGCATACTGTAGTCATCAGGAGCTTGAGTTACAGTCGGGTTATCCACAAACCGCCCTCAAACTTTAGAGTCCAGTTTGCCAGCCTTTGGCACCTGCAGCCCTACCGGAGTTTATTCCCCAATAATTTTCCTAAATTCCACTGGCATCTTAATGTACTTTTAACCATCTTTTATTTTTTTTAGGGCCATTGAACACAGAGCTATTACATCGAATAATGATATAATAATTAGCCATTACAATATACTATTTATATAAACCCAAGGCTGTTAATGCAGTAACAGCTGCAGACAGAGGTTATTGCTGGATTGGTAATACATAATATTAAGCAATTTACAATTATACAGGATATGAATTATGCCCTATATAACAACATGGCATGTACATCATTGTGCCCTATAGCAGGGGTAGGCACCCTTCGACACTCCAGATGTGGACAAGATCTCTCTTACAGCCATAACCCTGGCAAAACAGCAAGGGAGACATAGTCCACATCTGGAGTGTCGAAGGTTGCCTACCCCTGCTATAGGGCATAATATTGTACATGTCTTGTTGTTATATAGGGCATAGTTCACATTCTGTGCCTAACATTACATATGTATTGCCAATATAGCAATGCCTGCCACTGCCCTATTGAATTAAAAGCAAGTGCAATATTATTTAATATATGTTTATACAGAATGTGAAGTATTGCACTCCGAATATTTATACATTATGTGCAATATTGAACCTCTATGCCATTATACAGAGTGTGTAATGTTGTCCCCTATGGTATTATACAGAATGTACAATAGTGTCCCCTATGGTATTATACAGAGTGTGTAATGTTGTCTCCTAGGTTATCACACAAAATGCACAGTATCTTACCATATATAATTATTACTATACAGTATATCTATATAATTATTACTATACAGTATATCTATATAATTATTACTATACAGTATATCTATATAATTAGCCAAAAGAATGCACAGTACTATACCTATTATTACTATACAGTATTATGCCTATATTATTACTATACAGTATTATACCCTATATTATTACTATACAGTGTTATACCCTATATTACTATACAGTATTATACCCTATATTATTACTATACAGTATTATACCCTATATTACTATACAGTGTTATACCCTATATTACTATACAGTATTATGCCTATATTTTTATTATTATACCCTGTATTATTACTATACAGTATTATACCCTATATTATAATACAGTATTATACCCCATATTATTAGTAATATACCCTATATAATTATTATACAGTATTATACCCTATATTACTATACAGTATTATGCCTATTTTATACAGTGTTATACCCCATATTATATTATATAGTATTATACCCTATATTATTATATAGTACTATACCCCATATTATTAGTAGTATATAGTATTATACCCTATATTATTATTATTATTATTATTATTATTATACAGTATTATACCCCATATTATTATTATTAGTAGTATATAGTATTATACCCTATATTATTATTAGTAGTAGTATATAGTATTATACCCCATTATTATTATACAGTATTATACCCCATATTATTATTAGTAGTAGTATATAGTATTATACCCTATATTATTATTAGTAGTAGTATATAGTATTATACCCTATATTATTATTAGTAGTAGTATATAGTATTATACCCTATATTATTATTAGTAGTAGTATATAGTATTACACCCCATATTATTATTAGTAGTAGTATATAGTATTACACCCCATATTATTAGTAGTAGTATATAGTATTACACCCCATATTATTAGTAGTAGTATATAGTATTATACCCTATATTATTATTAGTAGTATATAGTATTATACCCTATTATTATTATACAGTATTATACCCTATATTATTAGTAGTAGTATATAGTATTATACCCCATATTATTATTAGTAGTATATAGTATTATACCCCATATTATTATTAGTAGTATATAGTATTATACCCCATATTATTATTAGTAGTAGTATATAGTATTATACCCCATATTATTATTATTAGTAGTATATAGTATTATACCCCATATTATTATTATTAGTAGTATATAGTATTATACCCCATATTATTATTATTAGTAGTATATAGTATTATACCCCATATTATTATTATTAGTAGTAGTATATAGTATTATACCCTATATTATTATTATTAGTAGTATATAGTATTATACCCTATTATTATTATCAGTAGTATATAGTATTATACCTATTATTATTATTATTATTATTATTATTATTAGTAGTAGTAGTAGTAGTAGTATATAGTATCATACCCTATATTATTATTATACAGTATTATACCCCATATTATTATTAGTAGTATATAGTATTATACCCCATATTATTATTATTATTATTATTATTATTATATAGTATCATACCCTATATTGTTATACAGTATTATACCCTATATTATTATTAGTAGTATATAGTATTATACCCTATATTATTATTAGTAGTAGTATATAGTATTATACCCTATTATTATTACACAGTATTATACCCCATATTATTATTATTAGTAGTATATAGTATTATACCCCATATTATTATTAGTAGTATATAGTATTATACCCTATTATTATTATTATACAGTATTATACCCCATATTATTATTAGTAGTAGTATATAGTATTATACCCCATATTATTAGTAGTAGTAGTATATAGTATTATACCCTATATTATTATTAGTAGTAGTAGTATATAGTATTATACCCTATATTATTATTAGTAGTAGTAGTATATAGTATTATACCCCATATTATTATTAGTAGTAGTATATAGTATTATACCCCATATTATTATTAGTAGTAGTATATAGTATTATACCCCATATTATTATTATTAGTAGTATATAGTATTATACCCCATATTATTATTAGTAGTAGTATATAGTATTACACCCCATATTATTATTAGTAGTAGTATATAGTATTACACCCCATATTATTATTAGTAGTAGTATATAGTATTATACCCTATATTATATTATTATTATTATAATACAGTATTATACCCTATATAATTCTCCACCTATAGAATGTCCAGACTGCCTGGCTGATAAAGCTGTATGTATATATATAATAATGATAATAATGAGATGCAATGCCTGGCTCCCTGCAGTTACCCTGGCAGTACCCCTTGCCTGGCTGTCCCCCCTGGCAGTACCCCTTGCCTTGCTGTCCCCCCTGGCAGTACCCCTTGCCTGGCTGTCCCCCCTGCAGTACTACCTGCGAGCCCCGGCTCTCCTGCCAGAGCTTCATTTGGTCAGCACATTTCTCCCTCTGAGACGCCATGTTTACCCAGACTGCTGGACCCTCAGCGCTGCGCTGCTATATCTACACCGCGGAGACCCCGCCCACTGCCACAGGGACAGCAGCGGATTGGACGGGAGAGAAGACGGTGGGGAACGTGGATTGGACGGTGGCTCTGTCTGTCAGTGTCATTCTCAAGCCAGTGTAAATACTGTGTAAAGGTCAGGGGGGGGAGAGAGAGAGGGGAGAAAAGGAAGGAAATGAAAATAGTAAAATAGGAAGGAAATAAATGTGAAGATAAAGTGACAGTAAGCCAGAGTACAGTGAGTGTGAAAGAAAATAGTGACAGTAGGCAACCAGAGTACAGTAGTGTGAAGATAGTGACAATGAGCCAGTACAGTGAAGTGTGAAAATAGTGACAGTGAGCCAGGTACAATGAGTGTGAAAATAGTGACAGTGAGCCGGTACAGTAGTGTGAACACACAGTGACAGTATGAGCCAGGTACAGTGAGTGTGAGATAGTGACAGTGAGCCAGGTACAGTGAGTGTGAAAATAGTGACAGTGAGCCAGGTACAGTGAGTGTGAAAATAGTGACAGTGAGTCAGGTACAGTGAGTGTGAACACAGTGACAGTGAGCCTGGTACAGTGAGTGTGAACACAGTGACAGTGAGCCAGGCACAGTGAGTGTGAACACAGTGACAGTGAGCCAGGTACAGTGAGTGTGAAAATAGTGACAGTGAGCCAGGTACAGTGAGTGTGAACACAGTGACAGTGAGCCAGGTGCAGTGAGTGTGAAAATAGTGACAGTGAGCCAGGTACAGTGAGTGTGAGATAGTGACAGTGAGCCAGGTGCAGTGAGTGTGAACACAGTGACAGTGAGCCAGGTGCAGTGAGTGTGAAAATAGTGACAGTGAGCCAGGTACAGTGAGTGTGAACACAGTGACAGTGAGCCAGGTACAGTGAGTGTGAGATAGTGACAGTGAGCCAGGTACAGTGAGTGTGAACACAGTGACAGTGAGCCAGGTACAGTGAGTGTGAAAATAGTGACAGTGAGTCAGGTACAGTGAGTGTGAAAATAGTGATAGTGAGCCAGGTACAGTGAGTGTGAAAATAGTGAGCAATGTACAGTAAGTGTGCAAACAGTGACAGTTAGCCACGTGCAGACCAAAATGGGCATTAGGAGAGAGGCTTGTCTGTCTGAATTAAAATAATAGTGATATGAGCATTGAAAGTGATACAGTGGTATTCACAAAAGTTGGAATAAACACAAATTGATTCTGGTAGTGAGAGAGAAGTACTGATTGTAACGGGACCGCCACACATTTGTGAATTGCTAGGAGCTGTTTCCTGTGTTTTACCCTGTATTGTGTTGTAGTTGTGTGTTTTACCTGCTCCCTGTTCGGGAGGGCTTAATGCAAAAGGCGTTCCGTTCACCTCCCGAACGGGGACCACCAAGAAACCTCATTTAGAATGTTGTCTCAGAACATTCACAGTGACAGTGAGCCAGGTACAGTGAGTGTGAAAATAGTGACAGTGAGCCAGGTACAGTGAGTGTGAACACCTCGTAACAAGGTGTGAAAACCACAAACCGCAAGGGAAGGCTCTGCGTGTGCCGACACTGGGTGGTGGCCCGCTGGTTACACAAACGCCATCTAGGGGGAGCATTCATGGATTGCTTCTCCCCAGTGTCCCTTGGAGTGTTCACACCAATCAATTAGAACGTTGGCAACTTGCAACATAAGTGTGAAACCGCAAGGGAAGTAATTAATGAGTGCATCCCTGGGCGGCCGCCGTTCGGATGGACAGCAGCCAGGGGGAGCATTCGTGTCCCGAACGGAGACACTTCCCTTGTCTGGTTTCACCCAGGGATCCCACGAACGGAGGCAGTTACCGTTCTGAGGGTCCCTGAGATTGGTGTGGACACTCTTTTGGGGACAATGGCGGTTTGGCAGGCTTTCTGTGGCTGGGAGTCACAGAGGCAGGAAGCTTTCCTGTACTGGGACTCCCAGGTACAGAGACTCATGGGATGAAGACCCCCTGGCCACCGGAGGTGGGAAACCCTGAAGATAAGTTGCGGGAACAAGGAACAAATGGATTGGAGTTCCGCTTCTGGACTTGGACCCCATGGAGTGGGAGGGCACTGGAAGGGGACACTGGGTGGCGGGAACAGGGGACAAAGGGACTGGGGGAGGGGAGGGATGACCCGGGGAGGGGACATTGTCTTCATGTGTGTTCCACCCCTTATATGGGGAAAGTATAAAGCCGCGTGTGGCCAATAAAGTTGTACCCATGGAACTGTGTGTTGTCCAGTTACTGGGGAAGATGGGTCTCTTAAATCATTTATAGCAGGGGTAACAAGCCGGATTACCCAGGGCCCGCTACAGTGATGTTAAATGAAAATGACAGAGACAGGGTTATTTACTAAAATGAGAATTATTGTGATTTAAAAGTGGATTTCAAATTTAAAGCCATTCTCCTCAGGGTATATAAAATAAATCATACTTTGGAAGATATACCCACAGTGTGAACATGCATACACTTTTTATATTGAGGGTATATCTTAAAAAAAAAAAAAAAAAAAACTTGTGAAAGCTGCCGATATCCTGCCCTGCCCTTTTACTAGAGTTTAACCAATTAGTCCTCCTTATTTTAATTTTTTTCCTTGCTTTAAAGGACCACTCTAGGCACCCAGACCACTTCAGCTTAATGAAGTGGTCTGGGTGCCAGGTCCAGCTAGGGTTAACCCATTTTTTCATAAACATAGCAGTTTCAGAGAAACTGCTATGTTTATGAATGGGTTAAGCCTTCCCCTAATCCTCTAGTGGCTGTCTCATTGACAGCCACTAGAGGCGCTTGCGTGCTTCTCACTGTGATTTTCACAGTGAGAGCACGCAAGCGTCCATAGGAAAGCATTGTAAATGCTTTCCTATGCGACCGGCTGAATGCGCGCGCAGCTCTTGCCGCGCGTGCGCATTCAGCCCAGGAGGAGGAACGGAGGAGGAGAGAAGGAGGAGAGCTCTCTGCCCAGCGCTGGAAAAAGGTAAGTTTTTAACCCTTTCCCCCTTCCAGAGCCAGGCGGGAGGGGGTCCCTGAGGGTGGGGGCACCCTCAGGGCACTATAGTGCCAGGAAAACGAGTATGTTTTCCTGGCACTATAGTGGTCCTTTAAGCCAGTATCCCTCTGCATACCACCACTTTCCCTTTTCTAAACGGGAACGTTCACCAAATCACATTCTGTCTAATTTTATGGTTTGTCTTTACATTTTCATGCTTAATTACTAACTGTATTGTAAATCATTCTGTCTTAACTAGTGTCAGGCTAAGAGTCTGCAGAGTTTATGAGCAATTCATCTGTAAACTGTTTGTCATCCATATAAAACGTATTATTGCACTTTTTTTCATTTTTGTGTTTTTACGTGTTTTTACATGTTTTTGTGTTAAAAGTACACTACAGCATTAGGAATAAATATACATTGCTAAATAATGCTATAATATTCTAGACCTTATTTCGAATTAGACCCCCCCACAAATGCAATAAAAAATGGGGGGAATGGGATATTTTACTTAACATTTTTTCCCGTGTCGAGACACACCCAGTGTTGCCGTCCACTCTTTCACCTGCAACGTTAATCAACAGACAATGTTCCCTTTAATTTTTCTTAGGTGGGCTGCGCAGAAATTTTCTCTTGTGCAAAAATTCTTCCCGATCCAAATTTTTGTGCACACTGAATGTTTGTGCGAATGTAAGCCTAAACTCGTTTCTCAATAATTTTAGTATAGCGCAACCTTTCTCTCTCATGGTTTATAACACTATTTAACAGTATTACTATGTGATAATGTAGTATTAGTAGTTACACAACAGTATTATAGTAATGTCAGCCTTTCAGACAGACCAGTGATCTCACTTGTAGAAGCCTAATAGGGGGAAACGCATTGTGATTTTATTATTTGTTTAAATAAAAGTAAGATTTTTAGACTACCTATTTGCTTTGGGGCAGTCTTTTATACTTTAATATTTAAAAAATATATATATATTTGTTCCTGGCGCAACCTATTTCCCATACACATCAGGTCCATCATCAAAAGTATCCTAGGTGGGGATTGTTCCACCCACGCTGTTACCATAGAGCGGTTTGTCTGCTCCTAAAATTGTAAGTACATTTAATTTTACTATTACATATTTGCAAATATGGAGAGCACTATGGGCCTTCTTTTTCTTTAATTGTATATAAACCACACTACAACTACCGTCTGAGGGATATCCTACAAGTTGGGAGTTGAAATACCACTGTAAGCTGTTTTACAGAGAGCTGGTTTTAGCTCTAAAAAACGTGAGTTGGCAATTATTAGTTCTATGTTGTCTATAGTCCATAGACTTACAATACTGCACTATTGGTCTCCTATTTTCTCTTTTGCATATGCCATTGATGTGTGATACCACTCCGGAGACATTGGTGCTACCTGTATCCTTTGTTCTGTTCATTCATACAGACAAGCCTCTCTCCTAATACCCATTTTGGTCTGCTAGACAATCCATAGGAAGCAATAGGTAGCAAATGCACACACAATTCAAGAAACAATTTCTAAATATAGTATGTGCGCTCCAAACGTATAGGTGGCTAAAAGAAACAGGAGATATTCCTATAAGGGAATTCCTATATTGCCACCTATATGTTTGGAGCGCACATACTATATTTAGAAAATCAGATCTCTATCTGCCAAGTCGCTTTTTTGCATCTAGCTGCCCGTTTTATTGATTTTATTGGTTAACACTTTTTATCTATTTACCCAGTAAGAAACGATTTCTAACTTGTTGCCTGTATCCTTCATCACAAAGCTTCAGCCCCACCTTCACCATAGTAAATAGCAATGTAATCCAAAAAACAAACTGACCTTTCATTCAGCCAAAACGATAATATTGGCAGCTTGTTGACTGTATTTGGGCAAACTTGTTAATAAATGCTTCTCACATATAAATCAAATTCAGCGGACACAATTATAGGAAACATTATATGGAGAGGAAGAGAGATGCCATGTCACCA